CCTTATCAGCCTCACTCGTGGCTGTTGAGCGATCAAGTGGACCTCCTGCCTTTCCTGCTGCTGCCGCTGGCAGGTCCTGAGGAATTAAGCGAGGATGAAATGGAAGGTAAGATCAGGCAGACTGCTTGGCAAGAGTGCATGGGGTAACCAGCACCAAATCCTTCTCCGTTCTCTGCAGGCGGAGCAGTTGGGTTTACAGTTAGCCTCATTGTCGCCTGGGATATCATTTGCTGGGTGGTGAGGGTGTTGAGCTGACTGCCTGTGATGTGTGTTGGCTGTGCTGTGTGTGGGCTGTGCTTTATGTAGGCCAATTGCCTGTGCTGTGTATTACAGGGTTGCCTGTGGATCTCCAGTATCTGCCCGAGGACAAGCAGCGAGAGAAGGACCCAGATATCCGCAAAATGCTCATTGAGGCCATTAACCTTGTAAGTGATGGACGAGGTGGGGTGTCTGTGTTGTGGGGTGTCTGTGTACTGGAATTCACAAATGAGGTCCTCTCTCTGTGTGAAAGGGTCCCTCTGCCTCCTTATCCTCCTTGATCTCTTCACTTCTCTCAACATCATACCATTCTCCTCCACCGCCTCTCCTCCTGCAGGGTGTCCCTCACTCAGTGGAACCACATTCTACTGGTTCCAGCCCTACTTAACTAAATGGCACTTTGTCATAGCACTTTGTCTCTGCAATGGAGTTCCAGAGGGTGGGAGCAGAACAACAAATTGTATTTATACAGCGTATTTTACGATAGGTTGACCTCCCAAGGCACTGGACCATAATTTGCATCTGACCTGGGGGTTGCGAAGCATCAGTGGTCGGATCTTCAGCCTTTCTGTTCCACCCTTTGGAACTCCATCCCTCAGTTCCTTTGCCTCGCTCCTTCCCTTGCTTCTTTCAAGGCACGTCTCAAGACTCATTCTCTTTGACAGTGCCTTCGGGCACCTTCCTACCCCCACATTTCCTGCCCTCCACCCACCCCGATCCCAACCCTTAGCTTGGGTCCAAATCCCTGACTGTCCAGCTCCTGGGACGTCCTCCCGACGTGAAAAAGCTATACACATGTAATTTGTTGTTAGACAGGTATCAGAAAGATTAGAGAGCTCAGGTGGGCTAATAGGGCTGAAGGAGGCGGTAGCAGCAGGGAAGGAGAGACTGTGAAAGGATAGGAAGGTGCACGTGAGGATCTTGAAGCTGACGTGCTGGGGAACCAGTAATGTCACTTGAACATCAATCCCTTGCTCTTACCTCTCAGTTGACGGCGACTAAAAGTGGGCGAGAGCAAGTGCGGGAGAGGAATGCCTATGTGGTGGTGCGGGAACTGCACAAGTGGGAGCCGGAGCCGGACGTTCAAGCAGCCTGTGAGAAGCTAGTGCAGGTGGGAACACAGGAGCTCTGCTCTCTATCTCTCCCTTTCCCTGTCCCTTCCCATCACTGTGTGTCACTGCTCTCTCTTCCCCCCTCTCACCACTCACACACACATTCACTTACACACTCACTCACAATCACAAAAAGCCCCACTGGTCTCTTTTCCTCCCTCCTGCACAAAAACTACTTTATTTTGGTCATGCAGGTGTCCAGCACAGACAGGAACCTAGTACCAGGCTTAAAAATACCCAAACCAGACAGAGTTCCACGAGTATATGCCACCTATGTATCTCTCCAGGTGCTGATATCAGACGAGCCCGAGGAGGGGATGGAGAATCTCCTAGAGGTGGAAGTGCCAGAAGAGATCGACGAGAAACTAAGGCAGCAGGATGAGGAAGAGCAGCGGCTCATCGAGAAGGAACGAGAGGAGCTTCTGAAGAAGGAAGAAGAGAAGGAGAATGGGGAGAGAGCGCGAGAGAAAGGCCAGCAGGACTGGGGAGATAATGCTGTGCTGTGCTGGGCTGAAAGACTATACCAAGCTATGACACTGCTAATCCCTTTAATGTCAGGTCTCAGCTTGGCTCAGTTGGTCGTGCTCTTGTCACTGGGGTTAAAAAGTTGTGCGTTCAAGCCTCATGCCAGCAGTTGAGCTCCATCCAGCGCAGTAAAGGGGGAGCTCTGCATCAGCACAGGTGCAATCCTTCAGATGAGCTGTTAAAACAGATCTCAACTGTGCCTGTTCAGGTAGGACGGAAGTGAAAGATCCCGCGGTGGTATTCAAAAAAAAAAGAAGAGAGTTTGTCACAGTGTCCTGTCTGCTGTTCCTCCCGATTAATTTTGTCCACAAACTACACAATTCACTTTACTATATATCCTGTGAAGCGCTTTCAGACATCTCGAAGGCATGATAAGCGCTATATCAAACACAAGGATTATTATTAATTAATCATTCACCTCAAAGCTGTGTGTGTGCGTAACCTTGCTATGTACGAAATGGTCTTTGCTTACAAACACACTCGCTGCCTTTGACCGCATTGCTCTGAATCGCTTTGTGGTGTTTGGATGTGATCTAGTGCGATAGAAATGACCTTGTATGACTTAGCCTACATCTTTATGGAACCTTTCACAATGTGGAAGGAGTATGTGTGTGCCAGGCAGGTGCGGTGAGGTGGTGAGTGGGTGCTGCTATCGAGCCAAGGCAGTCCCCTCTCTGACATCTGCCAAATAAGTCCCTTCATAGAGTTCAAAAATCTTGCCTTCGCCTTCAAAGCCCTCCACAGCCTTGCTCCTTCCTACCCGTGACCTACTAACACCATTTCAACATCTCCGCTCAGCAGACTCCGGCCTGCTCCACGTCACCCAGCCCGCCCCACCATTGGCAATTGGGCCTTCAGCCTCTCTGCCCCAACCCTTTGGAACTCCAGCCTACAGTTCATTCGCCTCGCGCTCTCCTTACCTCCTTCAAAGCACGTCTCAAGACCCTCCTCTTTGACCGCACCTTTAGCCACTCTTCTAGCCCCACCCTCCCCATCCTCACCCCTCCTGATCCCAACCCCCAGCTCGGGTCCAAATCTCTGACTAGCCAGTGCATTGGGACATCCTGCTGATGTGAAAGGTGCTGTGTAAATGTAATTTGTTGTTATTCACTGCCTACAACAGGGTTTTCTCTGTGACGGTCACTTCCAAGGGTGTAACACTGTAAACATAACCTGCTGGCCTGGTCTGCTGTGCTCTGGCATTTTTCCCAAAGGAGCAAGTGACCCGGTGGTGATGAGTCCCTTTGACTTCTCGCTCTCTGCAGTGGAGCCTGAAAGTGAGACCATACGATCTAGTGAGCGTTGGAAAAGTGTGCGCGTGGTTTCTGAGCGATGCTGAGCTATGCTGATCTAATCAATAAAAAGAGCAAGTTATTGAGTGAAATCTTTATTATGTATCTAGAAACCAGAATGAAGAGTCTCAGCGCCATGTGAAAAGAGGAGAGATGTGAGATTTTCCATGAATTAGCATTAGCTAAGGCCAAGCTTGGAGTTCAAAAGCCTGTAGAGTATAAGAGGAAAGGAAGACTGAGGGAGGAGAGGAGCTCATGCCTTGATCCTGAACAAAAGAAGAGGTTTCAGTGTTAACCCAGAAGAGCGTATGGAAAGAGAAGACTAAAAGGACAGTTCAGAGAAACTAAACCAAAGTCTTGTGGATAAACCAAAAAGGCAGGAAGTGTTGGATGGAATCAGAGGATGGAATGGAATCAGAGGTCAGGGAGACATCACCTGTGAGAGGAGCTGGGAGAACCACCTGAGGTATGAGAACAACTTTCAATTCTTGGGTAGATTTGGGATTTTTTACCATGGTGTGAGAGGGCCTGGCTCCCTATTGGAATGATTGTGTTTGGCTGGTGCTGGACTTGAGAATGGTGGATTGTTTCCAAATGAGAAGCAGGTTTTGTGTGAAAACCAGAAGTCTCCTCTGCTGGTGACAGAGAAAGTTACTGTGCTAATACTTACCAAAACATTCTCACTACTCATCACTCTTGACTCATTGCGAGAAATTCTTATTTAATACGAACTTGAACCTTACCACTGTAGGTCTAGAACAAGGAAAGGCACCAACCCCACTCCTCCACTGGCGTAACGGAAACCCCATCACTTACAGTACGGTGTAAAACTGGTCACTCACTCAATGGCTCTGCACAAATTGGCTGCCGTGTTTCTCCACAAAATAGGCGCAGACACAAGCTCTTTACAGTATACCCTGTGAAATGCTTGATAAGTCTCGGTGACATGGTAAGGCGTGATAGCAAATTAAAGGATTATTATTACTAAGTTTCAGTATTGCCCGACTCGTCAGGGGTCACTGATGCATCTACACTCCAGGTTTTGTTGACCAAGTTGGATTCTCCTCAGCACTTGTCTGTCTCCTGATCCTAGGGAGATGATGTTATCTGACAATGTTCTCCCACGGCCTGGTGGAGAGATATTTTAGACATAAGCATTTTATTGGGTACAAAAAAGGTGATGGACCAAGTGGATCCACAGGATTCAAACCCAGTACATTCTGGTCGGTGCAAGTAGTCTTGCCTCACAGGTTTGGCTTTTGAGTTGAAATTAAAAATCACTACAGCATTGGTCTCCTTTATTAAAGCTCTTTTTCTCCTCTCCAATGTCGCCCTGGAAACTATTCCAGCACAAGTCTTTGACAAAGCTGAGGCACAAAGCTCTAACGGGTAGGATGGTTCTAGCTGGACAACCAGTGGGAAAGCTTGCCAGACTGTGATATCAATGGCAAGCTGTGTGGTTTTAGCTGGTTAGACTCCGGCAGTTACCCCAACATACGCTCTGGGGTCCAAAGTCTTGGCCTTGCCAACCTGCCCCCTAATACTTTCTGGAATTAGGTAAGCAGGATGCATCCCTTCAGGGAGAGAGTGCGCCTTCCACTCCAATAATCAATCTCTGGAATTTCCATGTGGAGGTGGGATGTACGGAAATCTCATCTTGGTTTGAATACTCTTAAGCATGGTGATGGGTTTCCGCATGCGTCAGACACCCGGCTGACCAAAAAAAAAGGATATTTACTTCATGGCTGTGTGTGGCACCTTGCTATATGTAAATTGGCAAGTACACTGTCACTAAACTTAACAGCAATGAGCTGTGAAGTGTTTCAAAATATTTCAACGTTCTAGGTGCTGTAGCAAGTGCAAGGGTTATTATAAACTTCCCTTTAAACTACAGTCGATCAACAGCCACTTGTGGCAAAGCATTCCACGTGTTACTAACACTGTGTGAAAAAATTTCTTCTAGTCTCTAGCTGTAGTCCTGTAGCTTAATGGTTAGAGCACTAGCCTAGCAAGAGGACCTGGGTTTTTATTCCAGGGCAGGGTGAAACATTGGGCAAGTTTCCTTACTCCACATGACTCTGTTTACCTAGCAGTCAGTTGGAACCTGGTTGTTAGTCGATTGACGGATTGCTTTTCTGGGGATAATAATCCCTTCAAGTAATAAAGAATTTTAATAATAATTATTTTCTCACTCATTCCGTGACTATTTGCGGGACACTGCTATGCGCAATTGGCTGCTGCGTTTCGCCCACAAAATATGCAATCAATTCACTTTACAGTATATTCTAGTGAAGCGCTTTGATTGTCTCGAAGACGTGATAAGCCGATATATCAAATTCAAGGATTATATTATTGCCCTCTGCCCAGCTCTCCCAGTCTCCATTCCATCCTAAACCCACCTCACTCAAATCAATGTTCCCTGCTTATACTTTGCGAGGGTTGAGTTTTTATTTATTGAACAAATGTCAATCACCTCAGAAACCTCGGCCTATAAAACACTTATGGATTCGGATTAAAAAAATGTAGTGAGAGGGTCGGGGCCATTCGGGGTTTGGGGCAGTGGGGGTTGGCGAGAACACGAGAGATCAGGAGCCTCGGGCTAAGAGACTACTCGCTCCTGCACCTCTCTCCATTCTCAAAGTTTGAACACTAACAAGGAAACAAAGGCTAAACAGAGGATGAAAGTGAGAATTGGCCATCTGTCCCTGCCTCCAGCCACCCCACCTCCGCTCAGTCCTCCTGCCCTGGCCTGGCAGCTAGTTTATATCGGGCTTATTCTCTGGCAGGATCTGGCTTTACGCAATGGGAAAAGCCACTGCTCAATGACTGGACGCTTGCTCGGCAGCTGGGAGTCCCTGGGTGCGGCCGAGACTATGTATCTCCGAGCCGGGTCCGGGGAGGTCTGGAGGTTGAAGGGGGTCTCGGCTTGTGGGTGAAGAGCTTGCTGGAATCCTTGGACTCTCTGTCTGCATCTTTGATGGGTCTGTCGAGTGCTTGTGGAGACTGACACCATACTGAGTCCAGGTCGAGGCCAGCCCACTCCAGAGACTCCAGTTTGTGCATCGGTCCATTTGTCTTCAAATTATAGACAGCAACTCCCTTCGCCTTTGAGTTTCTGTTCCCTGATGCTTTTTTCTCCTGAAGATAGAAAACTATAGTTTTAAAGTGCTGGTGCTAGCAACCTAACATAATAACATACGATATGCGAGACAAAAAAAACAAGTATTTTCCGTGCTCTTCTCCCCATCATGTCTGTGCTGGTGCTCGCTCCCCCACTGGAGCTCTCTACTCTAACCCCATTCCCTGCTCTCTCTCCCCATCGTGTCTGTGCTGATGCTCGCTCCTCCCATCTACTCTTAAGACCATTCCTCATATCTTTTAAAAATATTATGCTTCCAAAGTTTATCAAAGATAATTGTAAATGTTATGTCAGACTCTGCTTCAGTCACCACACGTTCCTCATCTTCAAATTCTTTGTTTCAAAACATGTTAACCTGTTCCTTTACACTTCTAATAATAGAAGTCCTGTAGTTTAATGGTTAGAGCACTTGCCTCGCAAGCGAGAGGACTTGGATTCGATTCCCGGGCAGGAGATTCCCGGAAAAGGTGCCAGACAGCAATATCAATGGCAAGCTATCCGGTTTTAGCTGGTTAGACTCCAGCAGTTACCCCCAACGCACACTTGGGGTCCTCAAGCCTTGGCACTTGCCAACTTGTGCCTAATACTTTCCAGAATTAGGTAAGCAGGTTGCGTCTCTCCAGGGAGAGAGTACGCATACCATTCCAGCAATCTTTCTCTAAGATTTCCATTTCTAGGTGGGATGCATGGAAATCTCAGCTTGGATTGGATATGCTTAAGCATGGGGGTTTCCACAGGTGTTAGACCCCCGGCTGCGCACAAAAAAATGTCCTATAGACCCCAACTTCAGGATAGATTGAGATATTGGAAACGTCATTCGTCCTTCCCTACTTCTGTCCAGTAACAGTGTCTGGTTAGGCATGGATCACGACACATACCTTTGCTGCTATTCCCTCGGTGTTGACTCCTGTCCGTGGAATCTGTGAGGATGTCTCTGACTCTCTGGAAGATGAAAGAGATGGCGGGGAGCATCCAGGGGTGGGCAAGGATCTGCGTCAGTTCTGGCCGTGCCGACGGGCACCACTGAAGGAGCTGGCTGATCAGATCCTGACATTCTGCAGTGAAGGAAACCCGGCACAGAACTGTTACCAGCATCGGCCGACAAATACAGTCACCATACATAATAATACTGTAATAATAATCCTTGCATTCGAGATAACCCCTATATAGTTGCACAGAGCAGTGTCCCACGACTGTTTATGGGACATTGCTGTTTGCAATTAGCTGCCGCGTTTCACTGAAAAATACACGGTCAATCCATTTTACAGCATATCCTGTGGTGGGCTTTGAGACGTACCTAAGACGTGATGAGGCGCTATATCAAATACAAGGATTATTATTATGACTCTTATTCGTCTATCTTCCAGCTGAGTGTTTTACCTGGTGACAATTGCTGGTGGAACTTGATGCCTCGCTTTATGAGCTGCAGCATTTCTGAGGTTGACATTCATTGAAGGGGAGCTTCCCGGTTACCATGGCATAGAGGATCACTCCCCTAGGAAAGAGCAATGTGTACGAACTGAGTGAGCAGAGCCTGAGACAACCGAGCCCAAACCTGTCCACCCAAGCAGCAGGGGAGGGACTACTGTAACTAATTATACACCAAGAGAGGTTTATTATGCGCCACGTGTAAACTATGTGTAAAAACAGATCTATTATTCTGTTTCTTAATAATAATAATCCTTGCATTTGATGTAGCGCCTTATCACGTCGTTGAGACGTCTTCAAACTCTTCACAGAATATACTGTAAAGTGAGTTGACTATATTTTGTGGACGAAACGCCACAAAAATTCTCCTCATTTCCCTTCTGGTTCTTTTGCCAATTTATCTTGAATCCATGTCCCCAGGTGACATGTCCCTGATGCCCTCACTGTATCACAGTGCTTACATGCTCCAGATGTCTGCACGCTCCCCTTTGTAGCTCTGCTCAAGGAGAATCTCTGGTGCGGTGTAGGGGACTGAGCCACAGAAAGTGCTCATCAGACCTCTCTTGGTACACCTGCCGGCCAAGCCGAAATCTGCAGGACAGCAAAATGTTAGTTAGGATAATTGCAGAAGTGACAACAACGACAACAACAAAATTACATTTATAGAGCACCTTTCACGTCGAGAGGATGTCCCAAAGCGCTGACCAGTTACCCAGCTGCGCACTCACACACACAGCTCACAGCTAGGAGGGAATGAATAATAATAATAATAATACTTGCATTTGATGTAGCACCTTATCACGTCTTCGAGACATTTCAAAGCGCTTCACAGCATTTACTGTAAAGTGGGTTGACGATATTTTGTGGGCAAAACGCGGCAGCCAATTGCACACAGGAGTGTTCTACAAACAGTCGGGGATCGAGTGACCAAATTATTATTTTTGAAGAGATTATTAACCCCGGAAAAGCGATCCGCCAATCAATTAACAACCGGGTTCCTACTTACTGTTAGATAAACAGGCGTGTGGAGTAAGGAACTTGCCTAACGTTTCACCTTGCTCGGGAATCGAACCTAGGTCCACTCGCTTGCAGAAACCATGAGGGAAGTGTGTGTACTCCCAGTTGTCAGTTGGCCCAACGCATTGGTGGGGAGGTGCCGTCTTTTGAATGAAACATTAAACCGAGGAGGTCCTGTCTGTGCCCGTTCAGTTGGATGTTAAAGATCCTGCGGCTATTGGAAAAGAGAAGGGGGTTTCTCTCTTCCAGTGTCCGGGCCAACAATCCCCGAAATAAAACTGGTCACTAACTTCATGGTTGTTTGTGGGATATTGCTGTGTGAAAATTGACTGCAATTTTCATCTACAAAATACCGCAGTCACTACACTTTACAGTATATCCCGTGAAGTGCTTTGAGATATTCTCCGGACTTGAAAGGCAGCTGCATCAAATGTTATCTGCATCTATTTTCAACGTGTAATGCCAGCTCCTTCCAGTGGTGATAAAGGTATATTGCACAGTGGAACTGGGACATTGAAATAATAAGAATAATAATCCTTGCAATTGCTATAGCGCCTTATTACATTGTTGAAACTTCTCAAAGTGCTTCACAGAATATAGTGTAAAGTGAATTGATTGTATATTTTGTGGGCGAATCGCTACAGCTAATTGTGCAAAGCAGTCTCCCGCAACGTGATTGAGTGGCCAAATCATTATTATTTTAAAATTTATTTTTTTGAAGGGGTCATTACCCCTGGAAAAACGATCCGCCAGTCGACTAACAACTGGGTTCCTAGGTAAACACAGGCATGTGGAGTAAAGAAACTTGCCCAACGTTTCGCCCTGCCGGGAATCAAACCCAGGTCCTCTTGCTTGTGAGGCGAGCGCTCTAACCACTGAGCTACAAGTCTCCGTCATGTCTTTATCATGAATTGCTTTTCCCCCACCCTCTTCTCCAGCAGCGTGCTAACCCCACTGGGAGTGTGGCGAATCTTCCCCAGTTTTTATTCTGAAAAATTATCCTCTCTCACCTGTCAGCTTTATGGCTCCTTGTTCATCCAGTAAAATATTTTCACACTTCAGGTCTCTGTGTAAAGACAAATTATTACCAGTATCAATCACTCACCTTAATATCTGTGTCACTGTGTGACCAGGATAGGAAGGTCTGTGACAGCATTCCAGGCCTAGCCATGGTATAAAGCTCCCTCTACACTGTGTGTCCACACTCCCAGGTCAGGGTTAGAGACACAGTAAAGCTGCCTCTACGCTGTCCATCCACACTCCCAGGTCAGCTACACATGTAATACACAATCAATACACTTGACAGCAATTCTCAGTTAAGCACTTTGACGTGTTAAGCGCAGTACCGAATGCAAGGTGGGTTATTAAAACAACAAGTTGCATTTATATAGAGCCCCTCGCGTAGGTTAACGTCCCAGAGTGCTTAAAACTTGGGACCGGGCAACAGGTGAATTTGGTCCTTTGTCCCATTTGATTTCCCTGCCAATAACTCCCCTCCCAATACAACATTCAGCTATTTCTTACATGAGTCCCAGTCTCCTGGCCACAACCACCTTTCCTGGTTTCCCCCCTTCTAGCTTTTATTAAAAAAAACCTTCCTGGCGTCATGACTTCAATCTTCCCCTCACACGTGTGACCCTTCAGCCAGGCTCCTCATTGCGCGGATGCTTTGCTCTGGCCCCTGGTACCTGTGGACGATGTGATTGGTGTGACAGTGTGCCACGCCGCTGACCAGCTGGTGGAAGAGGTGCTGAGCCTCCTCCTCCCTCAGCCCCAGGTCCCGCTTGTTGGTGGCGATCCTGTTAATGTGGTCCAACAAGTCTCCTTTACATGCCAGCTCCAACACCAGGAACAGCTGGCTCGGGGAGCGAAAGGTCTCATACAGCTGGATCTGGGAAGGGTGAGAGGAACGAGAGGGACGTTTCAAATTAGTACACAGGAAGGAAAGAACAGGAAATGGAACAACATAAACTAAACTTCTACAGCACCTTGCTTGTCGGGAGGACTTCTCAAGACGCTGGACAGTCAGGGATTTGGACCCGAACGGGCACGGAGGGATTTGAAGACGAGTGAGCGGATCTTGAAATCGATCCTGTACGGCCAGCGCTGCCTTTGCCCACCTGCCTATCACGAGGGGTTGTGACAATGAAGAGTTAAATGAGAAGCCATGGAGGCACTGAGCGTCTAGGATATGGGGGCTTTTCAAGGTCCAGTGAAACAAGCATCTATATCTGTGCCAATGACTGGCCATTCTGCACCCAACCTTTGGAACTTCATCCCGCAGTCCCTCCGTCTCGCCCCCTCCTTCGCCACCTTCAAGACCCACCTCAAGACCCTACTCTTCAACTGTGCTTTCGATCTCTCTGCTTCCCGCCCACCCTCCCCCACCCCGACCCTCAGCTTGGGTCCGTAACTCTGTCTGCCCAGCGCATTGGGACGTCCTCCCAACGTGAAAGGCGCTATACAAATGTGTTGTTGTTGCTGTTGAGGGTCATAATTCCTGTGTCTGAAGCAGGTGCCCCACTGTATGTTACTGAGTGGCTGAAAAACTCAGCACTTTTCCTTTTGTGGGACGCTGCTGTACCAATTGGCTGCCATGTTTCGCCCACAACAATACACAGTCAGTCCACTTTACAGTATATCCTGTGAAGCACTTTGAGACGTCTCGAAGACCAGATAAGGCGCTATATCAAATACAAGGAATATTATTATTATAATTCCTTCAAAAATAATAATAATAATTTGTTCACTCAATCCACGACTGTTTGTGGGCCCCAGCTGTGCGCAATTGGCTGCCGGGTTTCACTCACAAAATATAGTCAATTCACTTTACACTATATTCTGTGAAGCGCTTTGAGACGTCTCGAAGATATGATAAAGTGCTATATCAAATGTGAGGATCATTATTATTGTTGTGGTTGAGAAGGAGAAATTTAGTGGGAAACATTTCAGGTGTGAAAAGTAAGTCCTGAAAGTCCTACCACGTTGGGGTGCTTGTAGGTAGCATGTAAGGCATTGATCTCTCTGCTCAGGAACCTGCGGGACTGTTGGTAGGGATTCTGAGAGATATTCACAATTTTGATAGCGACCTAAGGAGAGGAGAAAGAACGAGAGAAAGGACTTTTTTTAATCAAACCTTCCTGACTTTTTCCATCAGGTTCAAATTCAAATTGAATGCTCAATTTTTATTTGTTTGAGGCATCAAAGTGTAGCAACTAATCATTTCGCCCACAAAATACACAGTCAATTCACTTTACAGTTTGAAGCGCTTTTAGACATCTCAAAGACGTGATAAGACGCTATATCAACTGCAAGGATTATTATTATTATCAGGTACACTGATTGTTTTTGCAGCCATTTTACGCACAGCAAGTTTGGAAGATTAATTAACCAGGACACCGGAAGAAACTAACTAACTTCATGGGATCTTTAACATCTACAAGCCTTAGATAAGGTCTTAGTTTTAGTTTTAATGCCTCACCTGAAAGACGCCAACTCTGACAATACATTGGAAGATCCCCCAATACTGCGCTGGAGTATCAGCCTGGACGGTGAGCTCAACTTGTGATTGAACCCACACACCCGATAACTGACTATCGTGGTTTTCAGTCACTGGGGGCAGGCACTCAGCTCCTGTTAACTCTACAAGCCAAAGCCCCAACGGGTAGGGTGGTCCAAGCTTGCCAGACAGTGCTCTAAATGGTAAGCTGTGTGGTTTTAGCTGTTTAGACTCCAGCAGTCACCCCAAACCTTGGCTCTTGCCAACCTGCGCCTAATACTCTCCGGAATTAGGTAAGCAGGATGCGTCCCTCCAGGGAGAGAGAAATCTCTGGGATTTCCATGTGTAGGTGGGATGCATGGAATTCTCGCTTTGGTTTGGAGACTCTTAAGCAGGGTGATGGGTTTCCACACGTGTCAGACACCGGCTGAGCAAAAACAAACTAAGCCATTGCGTACTGGACAGCCAGTGGACAAATGGCAGCAGGTTATGAATAATCTTACCACCTGCCCACATCAGAGCCAAAAGTTTGAGGTTTGGTGAGAGATCCGGCGGTGGAAGCCTATTGCCGGCTCCTGAACACTCACCATCTTGTTCCTCTTGGTCTGGAGGCCAGAAGCCAGGCGGAAGTTACGCTTCATTACTTCCTGGGTCGGGAGGCCCAGGTAAACGCTGGAAAAGCCTCCCGTCCCGATCCTCTTGGAGGTCAGCAGGTATCCGTGCACCTCGCACTCCTTCACCTCGTCCACGGTGATCCTGTCTGTCTCCGAGGGCCTAGCTCTCGTGTCCGTCATTGCCAGCGGACATTCAGAGCAGCCACAACAAGAAAGGGGGAGAGAGAGAGAGAGAGAGAGAGAAAAACTCAACTGAACCCTGGCTGGCTCTTCATTTCTAAGAAATAGTTGTATTGAAATGCCATCATGACTGGGGGGGGGTGGGGGGAGTTATCTTGCTCTCTCAGTCCAGGACACGATGGTGTTCGGCTCACGTCTTGTGTGCGTGTGTGTGGTTTTTTTTTTGTCCCGAGACCTGAGCTGTGAGTTATCTCTGAGACCCGTAGAGAGCTTCTGCTGCAGAACCTGAGGGCGTCTGAGGTTCCACATTCCAGTCACGTTCTGTGATCTCACAGGGCTCCCTCGGCTCAGTCACACTCAGTCCGGCCTCAGAGGGGGCCACGGGGTAAGAAACCTTAGCAGTAGGAGGAGGCCATTCAGCCCCTCGAGCCTGTCCTGCCATTCTATAAGATCACGGCTGATCTGTACCTCAACTCCAATCGCCCGCCCTTGCCCCGTGTCCCTTGATACCCCGACCTAACACATATCTCTCCACCTCAGTCTTGACAATGCGAATGGACCCGGCCCGCTTCAGAACGCATGAGTTGTGATCCTCAGGTAGTGATCGGCACAGAGACGGAGGCTTGTTTCGCAACTCACTGGACCTTGAAAAGCCCCCATATCGTCGATGCTGACGTGGCTGGTCATTTGACTCTTCATTGTCGCAAACGGGGTCTCCTTGGAGCTGAAGAGGCTCCAAGGTGACATCCTTGGCATTGGAATATCGGAATCGAGCCACCCCTCTGTGACGGTCTCTGATCCGGGTCCTGAGACAGGCGAGTCCGTAGTATTCCAATTCACTGCTGATGGCAACGCAGGTCAGGTTGGCTCATCTGTAGGACCTGGAAGGGCAAACCCCTTGGTGGCAGGGAGTCATCCCACTCAATTCCTGTTAACCCTGCAAGCCAAGGCCCTAACGGGTATGATGGTCTTAGCTGGACAAGCAGTGGGAAAGCTTGCCGGACAGCGTTATCAATAGCAATCCATGTGGTTTTAGCTGGTTAGACACCAGTAGTACACCACTGCACACTCTGGGGTCCCTAAGCCTTGGCTCTTGCCAACCTGCGCGTAATACTCCTCGGAATTTGAGAAGCAGGATGCATCCCTCCAGGGAGAGCGTTCATGTTCCATTCCAACAATCTATCTCTGGGATTTCCAATTGGGTTTAGGTGGGCTGCATGGAAATCTCAGTTTGGTTTGGATACTCTTAAGCAGGGTCCGTTGCTCAGGGGAGAGAGGATTCCATTCCAGACACAAGGAAATTTAATAATAATACCTGCATTTGATATTGCGCCTTATCATGTCGTTGAGACGTTTCAAAGCGATTCACAGGATATACTGCAAAGTGGATTGACAATGGTCGAAACAAGGCAGCCAGTTGCCCACAGCAGTGTCCCACAAACATTCATGGAGTGAGTGACCAGAGATTGTTGGCCAGGACAAGGGGAGAGTGAAACTCTCTTCTCTTTTCGAATAATGCCATGGGATCTTTAATATCCACTTAATCAGGTACTCGGGACCTCGGTTGAACATCTCATCTGAAGTGGTATCTCAAGCACTCCGGGACGCTACCCCGTGTGAAGGGCGCTATGCACATGCAAGTCGTTGTTCTTGTTGACGATGCAGAACACCCCTAGCATTGTATTGGAGCGTCAGCTTACACTGTTTGATTCCAAGTCCCGACGTGGAGCTTGAACCCACAACCTTCTGACTCAGATGCGAGAGTGCTACTGTCAGAGACACCCAAAACCACTTAGCAATGAAAGAGCTAACTAATTAAACCAATCACTCACTTTGAGAAAAAAACATTTCAACAAGATTACAACAACTTGATATGTTTTAGTGAACAATAAAGAAATGAGATAGCAACGGTAAATAACTGATTATACAACAATACTAACTAACCCCATAAACATGTGGTGTTGACACCAAACAATAAATCACAATGATCACATGAGTATTGGAGAAAAACATTGGTGATCATGTTAAATCTAATCTAAAAAAAACACGAGACCTGTGACTCAATGATGATACATGGAAAAAAGATAATAAAGACCAACGATTGGAAGTAGTGGGGGCAGACTTAGGAGGAATGGTCCCGAGGTATGTTTACCTCTGTTTGCCTAACAGTAAGTAGGATCCTGGTTGTTAGTTGATAATAATAATAATAATCCTTGCATTTGATATAGCGCTTTTCACGTCTTCTCGACGTCTCAAAGCGCTTCACAGAATATGCTGTAACATGAACTGACTGCATATTTGTGGGCGAAACGTGGCAGCCAATTGCGCAAAGCAGCGTCCCACAAACAATCGTGGATTGAAAATGACCGATTTATTATTGTTTTGTTTTGGAGGGATTATTAATGGGTGTGTGGAGTAAGGAAACTTGCCCAAGGTTTCACCCTCTGCCTGGAATTGAACCCAGTGTCTCGCTTGCAAGGTGAGTGCTCTAACCACTGAGCTACAGGACTGATGCACCAGGCTGACACGGGGAAATTTCCACTTGTAGGTGGCATAAATATGTTTAACTCTCCGGTCTGGTTTGAATATTCTTAAGCGTGGTGATGGGTTTCCGCATGTGCCAGACCCCAGGCTGACAAACAAGAATCAGACCGACTGGTTAATGACAGGGAAATGAAACACAGGGACTCTAGTGGAGTTTTCATCATTGAATATTACAGCACAGAAGGAGGCCATTTGGCCCATCGTGCCTGTGCCGGCTCTTTGAGAGAGCTACCAACTAGTCCCACTCACCAACTAGAGCTACCAACTAGTCCCACTGAGATAGAGTGAATCTATCTCACTCCATAGATTTGCAATTTTTTTTCCTTTTTAAGTCCCTATCCAATTCCTTTTTGAAAGCTATTATCGAATCTGCTTCCACCACCCTTTTAGGTTGTGCATTCCAGACCGTAACAACTCTTTTGCCAATTATCTAAAATCTGTGAGCTCTGGTTACCGATCCACCCACCAGAGGAAACAGCTTCTCCTTATTTAATCTATCAAAAACCGCTCATAATTTCAAGCACCTTTATTAAATCTCCCCTCAACCTTCTCTGCTCTAAGGAGAATAATCGCGGCCTCTCTAGTCTCACCACATAACTCAGCTCCCTCATCTCTGGTATCATTCTTTTTATCTATTAAAGTGGTACTGCCACTAATGGTGAAATATCTGAAAGTGCTTTGCAGGAATTGCTTTTGTTGGCAAATGCAGAGGCAATGTTTCACACACGATTGCACCATCCAGTCACGAGGTGAACGACAATTTTATTCAGTGAAGTTTTTGGCAGGGACAGTGGGTCAAACTGCCTTCTTTCTTCCAACAATATCATGGGATCTTTGAAGTCCAACCGACCAGGCAGAAGGGCGTTACCTTTTTGTCCAAAGGGCGTTACCTTTGACAATGCGGTGCTCCACCGGTGCCGCACTGCAATGTCGAGCTGAGTGCCACGTCGCGCCGTGTTGCCGACCTGGGAGCTCGCAGGGAGTTCCTGGTACCTACCAACCACCTAGTGAGGGCTCAAACCCACTTGTTGGCTGGCGCACAACATACTTGTGACTATCCAGCGCCTTGGGACCAACTCCCGATGCGAAAGCCGCTTTACAAATGTAATTTGGTTGTTGTTGTTGTTGTATTCTCGGGGGGTGGGTGGGGGGGGGAGCGGGGTAAGCTGAACCGACTCCAAGGCGACATGTTTGCCGATGGACTGTCAGGATCGAGCCAGACCTCGTGGCGGTCTCCAGTCCGGTTCCCAAGCCTTGGGAAGCCTGGAGGTGGCTCTTGCCAACCTGTACCCTGGCAGCTGTGCCCCACAGGGTCGGGCTGCCAGTCTCAAAGATGGCGGCTGGCCGGCTGCAATAGTCACAGGAGCGCGGCGCGCATGCGCGCGGGCTACCCTGCCAGCACAGGTCTCATGTGATGGGAGCCACATGATCCGGCGTTGCTTCGCGTCACTCGGAGGCCAGGAAGAGCAACAGACGGACTGCAGCTCCTGGACAAGCTCACGGGCTCCCGGGGACAGGTGAGGGACAGAGACAGGTGAGGGACAGGCTCAGGGACAGGGACAGAGACAGGGACAGGCTCAGACAGAGTCAGGGACAGGGACAGAGACAGGGACAGGCTCAGAGACAGGGACAGGGACAGGCTCAGAGACAGGGACAGGGACAGGCTCAGGCAGAGACAGGCTCAGAGACAGGGACAGGCTCAGAGACAGGGACAGGGACAGGCTCAGAGACAGGGACAGGCTCAGAGACAGGGACAGGCTCAGAGACAGGGACAGGGACAGGCTCAGCAGAGACAGGCTCAGAGACAGGACAGGTCAGAGACAGGGATAGGCTCAGGACAGGCTCAGAGACAGGGACAGGCTCACAGGACAGGTCAGGGACAGGCCAGAGACAGGGACAGGCTCAGACAGGGACAGGCTCAGAGACAGGGACAGGCTCAGACAGGGACAGCCAGGACAGCTCAGAGACAGGGACAGGCTCAGACAGGGACAGGCAGGACAGGCTCAGAGACAGGGACAGGCTCAGACAGGGACAGGCTCAGAGACAGGGACAGGCTCAGGGACAGGCTCAGAGACAGGGACAGGCTCAGACAGGGACAGGCTCAGAGACAGGGACAGGCTCAGAGACAGGGACAGGCTCAGGGACAGGCTCAGAGACAGGCTGAGAGACAGGGACAGGCTGAGAGACACGGACAGGCTCAGAGACACGGACAGGCTCAGAGACAGTGGTGGCCAGGGGGGGGTGGCCAAAGGCGCAGGCGAAGAGGAGGGTCATGCGACGTGCTTTGAAGGAGGCAAAGGAGGGGTTGAGGTGAAGGTACTGGGATGGAGTTCCAAAGGGTGGGGGCAGAGAGGCCGAAGGACTGACCGCTGATGGTGGGGCGGTCAGGGCGGGGGATATGGAGCAGGCTGGAGCCCGCTGAGCAGAGAGGTAGGTATGGAGCTTGCAGACCACAGAGGAGTCAGGTACAGACGTTAGACTAGTGTAGTCAGAGAGATGTTTCATTGGTGCTGAGATGGGTGACCTGACAGAGGTGATCAAGGCCATAAGTGTCTGATGTTTGTGTTTATCTTGCAAATCTGGGAGGAACTGGAGGAGACTAAATTCTCTGTTAAAATATACCTATAGCTGTGATCCTAACGTGACCTTTTTCTGGTCTCGGCTCAGCAAAGCTTGGAAGAGACATCTCCCCGCTCCTGGAGAAGCAAGACAGGTGCAGCCACAACGCCTGAGGCAGGAGGGACGTTTCCTCAGTTACATGACTACGTTCAGCTTCCAGTCTCAGTATCAGCCTTTGAGCTAAGTAGTCTGACCGGGAAACCATATCCCTGGGATGCGATGAGCTGGTAAAAATGGGGACCAGTAATATAGAAGGTAAGAGATCACTCCTCCTTGCTGTCTGGAGCTTGATTTGTCTATAATATTAATAATTATTATAATCCTAGCATTTGATACAGCGTCAACGCCTTAGGACATCCTTCCGACATGAATGGCGCTATACAAATGTAATTTTATTGTTGTTGTCACAACTTCGAGACATCTCAAAGCAATTCACTAGAATATACCGTAAAGTGAATTAACTGTATATTTTTGTGGGAGAAAAGCGGCAGCCAATTGTGCGCGTGGATTGAGTGACAACATTTTTTTTTCGAGGGATTATTACCCCCAGAAAAGCAACCCACCAATCAATTAACAATCGGGTTCCTACTTACTGCGAGGTAAACGGATGCTCCATGGCTGTTTGTGGGACATTGATGTGTGTAACTTGCTGCCGCGTTACACTCACAAAATACACAGTTAATCCACTTAACGGTATATCTGTGAAGTGCTTTGAGATGTCTCGATGATGTAAAAAGGCGCTATATCAAATGCAAGAATTATTAAAATGTTCTCTCTTTCTTTCTCAGCTTTCTCCGTGGCCCTGATAGATGTGGCCAATGATAAGGATGAGAGGGTTCGGCAGCAGGTGTCACAAGCCCTGTGTGAGCTGGGGTTCCACCATCCCAAGGTCGTGCTCATGGCCTCTCATGATTACCTCCTCAAGCACAGCAAGGTATGCGTGAGGCAGCACAGGGCGGCACTCACAGTGCTATTCGTCCAAAGCTAGCGTACGTAGGAAAGCAGAACAGTGGAGGGCAGGGGGTCGGGTTGGAGGGCAGGGGGGGTCGGGTTGGAGGGCAGGGGGTCGGGTTGGAGGGCAGGGGGTCGGGTTGGAGGGCAGGGGGTCGGGTTGGAGGGCAGGGGGTCGGGTTGGAGGGCAGAGGGGGGGGGTTGGAGGGCAGGGGTCGGGTTGGAGGGCAGGGGGTCGGGTTGGAGGGCAGGGGGTCGGGTTGGAGGGCAGGGGTCGGGTTGGAGGGCAAGGGGGTTATGGAGGGGCAGGGAAGGGATGGAGGACAGGGGTAGGAGGGTGGCGAATGCGCGATCAAAGAAGAGGGTCTTGAGACGTTTTGTGAAGTAGGCAAGGGAATGGAGTGGGTACTCCAGTGGAGGGGTGCTGCATTATTGGAAATGCTGTCCTCCAGATGAGACGCTAAACCGAGGTCCTGTCTTGGATTTTGCAATTGGCCCACAGAATAGGGTCACTACGCATTACAGACCTGTGAAGCTCTTTGAGACATATCAATGATGTGGTAAGGGGTTGTGTCAAATGCCAGGATTATTATTGGACGTTAAAGATCCCATACCCCATCTGGTGGGGTGGGGGGATGGCAGATGGGATGTGACTCTGCCCCTGTGTGAGGTTCTCCCAGCCACACCTGACCAGGGATTCCTGTTGCTTCCCAGCTGGTGCAAGTGCACCGTGTCCTGGTGCTGCAGAGCATGGAGGCCATGGTGAAGGGCACCATCGCTCAGCTGGACCAGTCCCTCGCCAGGAAGATCATCACACTGGCCTCTTAGGAACTCACCAGATCAAAGGTAAGTGTGCGCAGCTCAGTGGCTCCTTGGGCGTGTGGACGGACAGTGTAGAGGGAGCTTTACCGACCTGAGAGTGTGAACCCAGTGTCGAGGGAGTTTCACTCTGTGTCTAACCTGTGGTGTAACTGGATAATGTTTTGCTGGTTGGAGGCTATAACATCTCCATGCTATGGGGAAGGGTGGGGATCAATGGGGACAATTTTGTCGTCTTAAGAGTGTAATGATGTGTAATGGCAAGAAAGAGTGATGAGAGTATGAAAGGTTCTGCCAATGGAAGGAGGAGATGGATACAGTTGAAAGATTGAAAAATGTGGCAGGAAGCTAGGATGGGCTGATTGGCCTCTTACTGATCCCGAGTTCCCGTCGTTGATCATCTGAGTTTCCTGTCACACAGGAAGTGGTTCCTCATTGGCAGGAGGCGGCCAGTAATCTGCTGGTTGCCCTGGGCTGCAGGTTCATCAACGAGGTGATGGAGGAGATCCTCCAGAAGTTCCAGCCGGGCATTCTCCCCCATTTCTTTGTGGTTCGCACCCTGGCTAACCTCTCCGTTGCTAACGGTAAGAGATCCTTTAACATCTAAAATCCTAGAATATTACAGCACGGAAGGAGGCTATAAAGCGCTCTCCTTTCCTCCCCCGCGCCCCACTATGGTGCTGGAGTGTCAACTTCTCCATTATGTGGCCTGAACCCACAACCTTCCTTCAAACTGACGAGAGGTGGCTGAGGAGAGTGCCACTGATTGATCCCAACCCCCAGATCAGGTGCAAATCTCTAATTGTCCAGCGCCTTGGGACATCCTCCTGATGTGAAACGGGCTATACAAATGTAATTGGTTATTGTTGTTGCCTCCTAAATGCCTTTATATAGTTCTTTCTTCCATCTCCGTTGCTGGTGGGTGCTCTGCACACGTGCCAGTCACACACTGACTATAATGGCTTGTTTCCTGTTGACTTTGTTGGCAGTGTACGGGATGGTGCCCTTCCTGACCGCAATCCTGGGCACCATGCTGCCCATGCTGGGCATTGCCAGGCAGGACAACATGAAATCCGTTTTCACTATTGGTAAGAACCCTGACCGTCAATGTCCCACAAGCAGCCACGCACTGAATGACCAATCTTATACAGACCTCGGTTTAACGTCTCTCATTCTATCCCTCCGCCTTGCCCCCTTCCTTCCCCATCTTCAGATCGTGCCTGAAGATCTTCCTGTTCGATTGTGCCTACGGTCACCTCCTCCCCGGCTCGGCATTGTGCTCCGCCACTGTCAAGCTATATAAATTTATATTGTCGTCGTTGTCTACAGTGGAGTTCCGTAGCTGTAGAGCAATTGCCTCGCAAGCGAGAGGACCTGGGTTTGATTCCCGGGCAGGGCTAAACTTTGGGTAAATTTCGTTGTCAGTCGATTGGCGGATTGCTTTCTGGGGGTAATAATTCCTTCATTGGTATAACGCCTTTCAAGCCAGGAGGACATCTCAAGGCGCTGGGAGAAAGATGTTACAAGAAAGATGTAGCATTGGAGAGAGAGGGCAGCTTAGATTTCCAAAAATGTGTGGATGAGTAGATACAGCGAACAGGAAAGATTGGGAAAACTGCAACTTGTCTCTGTAGGAGAGACGATAGAGAGAGGATCTGATCGAGGGCTTTAAGGTTAGGAAAGGTTTGGATAAGGTGGATGTTCGTGAGCTGTTTCCACTTGCTGAGTTTATAACTAAAGGTTATAAATATACACAAGTCAGTAACAGATCTAACAAGGAGTTTAGGAGGAACTTCTTCACACAGACGGTGGTGAGAATGTGCTACTCACTGCCGGAAGCTGTGGTTGAAGTAAAAATAATTGAGGAACCTGAATGAGTATATGAGGGTACAGGAAATGGAGGGGAACAGGAAAGGGATGAGGAGAGGTGGAACATTCCAGGTGGGCTGATGGCCTGTTGTGTATTGACCATTCTATTTTATGATTTCACTGTTGTCTGCACTGTACGATCCCCTCCACACCGTCAGTAAGAGCCTCACTGTGACAATCATGCTCTGTGTGACATACAGCTGGTCTGCAGTGAGATCCCAAGTGGAGAGGATGCTGTGATGATGGCAGTAAAAGAAATCCTATTGTGCTCCTGTGCCAACTTGTGGGTGATTGTCCTGGGCACGATTTAACGCGTTTGATTTCCCTGGATGTGATTTAATACATGTGATTGCCCTGGATACGATCTAACATGTGTGATTGACGTGGGTCTGATCCAACATGTGTGATTGACAAAGGCGTGATCTAACAGGTGTGTTTGACATGGGCGTGTTCTAACAGGTGTGATTGACATGGGCGTGATCCAACACGTGCGATTGACACGGGCGTGATCCAACACGTGCGATTGACACGGGCGTGATCCAACACGTGCGATTGACACGGGCGTGATCCAACACGTGCGATGGACACGGGCGTGATCCAACACGTGCGATGGACACGGGCGTGATCTAACAACGTGTGATTGATATGGGCGTGATCTAACAACGTGTGATTGATATGGGCGTGATCTAACACGTGTGATTGATACGGGCGTGATCTAACACGTGTGATTGACACGGGCGTGATCCAACACGTGTGATTGACGCGGGCGTGATCTAATGGATGTGATTTAACATATGTGATTGGCGTGATCTAACACGTGTAATTGATGTGGATGTGATCTAACATGTGGGATCGACATGGGTGTGATGGGGAATGCCCTGGCTGTGATTGAGACTGTTGTGTTGTGTGTGATCGCAGCGCTAGGCCGGTTCAGCGAGGCTATCCTGGAGTATCTGGCTAACCTGGACAAGGCCCCGGATCCCACCGTCAGGAAGGACGCCTTCTCCAGCGAGATCTACGCGGCCTACGAGGTGCTCTTCAACCAGTGGCTGCAGCACAAGGAGCCCAAGGTATGGGGTCGAGGTGGAGGGCAGAGGGGGCAGGGTACAAGCACCCATCACCATGCTCGAGTATCCAAACCCAACTGAGAATTACACCTACACACGGAAATTTCCCTGCAACTGGAATGGATTGAGCACCCTCTCCATGGAGGGACGCACCCTGCTTATTTCCTAATTCCAGAATTTATTAGGTGCAGGCTGGTAAGAGCCGAGGCTTGGGGAGTGTGCGTTGGGATAACGGCTGGAATCTTAACAAGCCTAAACTGTGTAGCTTGCTATTGAGAGCGCTGCCTGGCAAGCTTTCCCGCTGCTTGTCCAGCCAGGACCACCCGACCCATTAGGGCTTTGGCTGCAGGGTTAATAGGAGCTGAGTGGGAGGATACCTGCCCCCAGCGACTGGTTTGCCCTTCCAGGTCCTGCCGATGAGCCAGGCCGAGGTGTTCCGTCATCAATAGTGCCCTGGAATACTGTGGACCTGACTGGCTCAGGAACTGGACTGGAGACCGTTACAGATATTTTTCTGCCAAACATCCCCCTTCCCCCGCACCACCACACCTCCCCCACCACCCCCCCCAACCCGAGGTCAGTGGGCCTGAGAGAAACACGGCTCAGAGAGTTGGTAATAGTACGTATCTGGAGGTGTACATAATGTGTGTTGTTATTCATCCCCCCGGCAGCTAAGGACAAGTGTGGTGGACGCACTGGGACAGATGTCCCATCTGATGCCTCACGACAAGCTGGAGGAGCAGCTGCCGAGGCTGATCCCGGGAATCCTGTCCCTGTATCGCAAACACCCGGAGCACTTCCACTTTACACAGGTACCATAACTCTTTTCCCCCACCCCCCCGCCACACACTCACACTCACACTCACACACACACACACACACACACACACACACACAGATAGGTACCATAACCCACACACCGCTGACCCCCATAGTGGCAGGGCTGACTGACTATGCTGTGTGTTTGCTCAGAGTCTGTGCCATGTGCTGGATGCTGCTGTGGAGATGGGTAGTCGTGTGCTGGAGAGCCAGATGGACGGACTGCTCAACGTGCTCCACCCCCAGGTAGTGTGTGCACGATTTCTCTGTTGGGTGTACGCTGAGCTCTCTGGTAGTTTTGGGGTATTTGAAGCATGTGTATGGTGGAGGCCTGTAGCTCAGTGGTTAGAGCACTCGCCTCGCAAGCGAGAGGACCTGGGTTCGATTCCCAGGCAGGGCGAAACGTTGGGCAAGTTTCTTTACTTCACACGCCTCTTGTTTACCTAGCAGTAAGTAGGAACCTGGTTATTAGTCGATTGGCAGTCCTTCAAAAAAAATCCCCGCATAATAATAATAATTTGGTCACTCAATCCACGACTGTTTGTGGGCCGCTGCTGTGCGCAATTGGCTGCCGCGTTTCTCCCGCAGAATACACAGTCACTTTACAGTGCATCCTATGAAACCCTTTGAGACGTCCTCCCAGAGCGAAAGGCGCTGCACCAAATGTCAGGATGATTATTATTGTCTGAGGTGATGTCCTGGGATGAGATGTTCTCACAGCAGCATTTGGTAGGGGAGCAGGGGATTCCTGCTGGCGTCCTGGCCCGATGGATGACCTGCTTGTCTGTTGGCTGGCAGACTGACCGAGCAAGTGCTGTGTGTCTGTGTTGCAGATCTGTGCCCCGATGGATTACAGGAACCACACAGCTGTGAAGAACCACAACGAAGTGCTTCGCTGCTTCACTGTGCTCGGTGAGGAACGAGAGGTGCCGATGAGGGGTGGGTGGTTTCCTGAGGGGGGAGGGTGTGTGGTTCCTGGGGTGGGGTTCCGGGGAGGGGGGATGCTGTGGTTCACAGGGTGGGGAGTGGAGGGATGGTGTGGTTCCCGGTGGGAGGTGTTCACAGTGGGGGCAGTTCCCGGAGGAGAGCTGACTGATGTTTTCTCTCTCTCTGGCAGCCCGTGCCTTCCCGGACAGGCTGGTGATGTTCCTGCTGCAGAAACTGGAGAGTCACAGTGAGCGTGTGCGGATCGGGACCCTGACCGTACTCAAGCACCTCATCAACTCCTCCGGTACACCCCCCCCCACCTTTCGTCCCGAGCCCAAAAAAACATGAGCCCTCCCACCCTTTTACGTGTTCAAATCCCTTCATGCTCTCGCACCTCCCTACCTCTCCGATCTGCTTACCCCCCAGTTCTTCACCCGCTGCCTCCACTCAGCTTGCTCCAGCCTCTGCTTGTCCCTCCTCCCCTCCGCTCCACCGTTGGTGGCCGTGCCTTCAGCCACTACGCCCCAAAACTCTGGAACTCTCCCCCTCAATCCTTCTGCCTTGACCCCTCCCTCCCCACCTTCAAATCCCACCTAAAGACCTTCCTTTTTACTTGTGCTTACGGTCAGTTTTCCCCCCCCCCCCCCCCAACCACTCCCTCTCCCCCGGCTCTGGATCCGATCCAGACACTGTCGAGCACTACCCCACGTGTTGTTGTTGAAAAGGCGCTGTGTAAATATAACTTGTTTTGATATTCTTGGCTTTGTAACGCTTGCTCGGGTGGGATTCGCTGCTGTCAGAGGGGGCCGGTTGGGGGGGTTGGTGGAACCTAGATCAGATGGGTTGAAAGATCTTCTTCAACTTGCGTTTGCGTTTGCTCTCCCCACAGCCCCTCAGCTGGAGAGCAAGAAAACCACTCATCCTGTCCGGCATCAAACTGGCCCTTCAGGACACCAACAACAAGGTGAGCAGTGACTGCACCCACATTCACACCAACTACCAGTCCTGTCCAGTACTTTGACAGGTGAAATGTGAGGGCTGGTTAATGTCACAACCCCCCACCCCACACTACCCCAAAGCCCTCCCCCCCCCTCTTCCACCCCCCAAAGCCCTGCCCCTCTCTCCCGCCCCAACGCCCTGCCCCTCTCTCTCTCCAGCCCCTCTCTCTCTCCTGTCCCAACGCCCTGCCCCCCTCTCTCCCTCCCAGCGCCCTGCCCCTTTCCCCCCCCCACCACCAAACGCCCTTCCCCCCCTCTCCCCCCAACGCCCTGCCCCTCTCCCCACCCCTTCCCCAAAGACGACCTGCCTCTCTTCTGCTCCAGCACATGCATCCTTCCAGTGCTGGCCCTGGCATTGAGGAGACCTCCCACCCCTCACGCTGTGCTCACGTTGCCTGTGCTGTGTCTCTGCAGGTGAAGTGGGCGATGGTGCAGGTGATCAGCGCCATGGCTCATCACAGCTACCTGGAGCTGCCAGGGGGAGAGGCCATGGTGGAGTTCATCATCCGCCAGTGCGCACTGCCCTGTGCCACCCCGGTGAGAGACATCCCTATACACGCACCACCACACATACACACACATATGCACACGCCACACATGCATACACACCACTCATATACGTTCCCCCCCCACCACCACACACCACACCACCACAACAGACACATATACACATGCCAAGCACACACATACACGTACCACACACATACATCCCTCTACACACACACACAAACACACACTCCCACTCCGTCATCCTTTCCCCCCAGTCGCTCCCTCCCCCCAATACACACAGACCAACACACAGACATACACCAACACACACATGGACACGGGTGCCTGTGACATCCCTGTGAGAGACCAACCCGCCCAGAGCAAGGCGAAGGAAGCTGGACACAGTGGGGTGGGTTGAGGTGGGTGGTTGGGGGTTGAGGTGGGTGGTTGGGGGTTGAGGTGGGTGGTTGGGGGTTGAGGTGGGTGGTTGGGGGCTGAGGTGGGTGGTTGGGGCTGAGGTGGGTGGTTGGGGGCTGAGGTGGTGTTGGGGCTGAGGTTGGTTGGGGGCTGAGGTGGGTGGTTGGGGGCTGAGGTGGGTGGTTGGGGGCTGAGGTGGGTGGTTGGGGCTGAGGGGGGGGGGCTGAGGTGGTGTTGGGAGGTGAGGGAGATGTATGTGTGTGGGTGAGGTTTAGGTTGGTGGGGATACCCCTCTTGCCCTCTTGTGACTGACCCTCGCTATATCGTGACTGACCGTCTCTTGCTCTCTCGTGACTGACTCTCTCTCGCTCTCTCATGACCCTCTCTCTCTCTCTCTCTCTCTTGCTCCCTCCTTGCTCAGATGCCCAAACCCCGGAGCTATGACCCTGACGAGGTGACAGAGGAGAACCTGAGGAACATGTGCGACAACATCCTCAACCTGCTGACTACCACCGTCAGGACAATGGAGCCCGTCAGTCACTGCTGCTCCTCTCAATTTTAACCGCACCTCAGAATCGTTTCAACCCCCGTCGCCCCCTTCCCCCCCCCCCGTCCCTCCCAAGGGGCCCACCTACCTGTTAGCGCTTTGACTTGCAGAATTAACAAGAGTTGAGTGGGAAAAATCCCTGCCCCCAGTGAACTGTTCTGCCCTTCCAAGTGCTGGGAATGGCTGTGTTGTCATCAGTAGTGTCCTGGGGGCTGTGGACGCGCCTGGCTCAGGAACGACTGTGATGGAGGAGGGTGTGTGGCTCTACAGATCTTCACTCCTGCCTGCTCTTTTCTGCCCAGGTGCTGTGGCCGTTCCTGCTGGAGTTTGTGACCCCCACTCAGTACCTCAACGCCCTGGCCCCAGTGTGTCGGAGTCTGGAGCACCTCGGGGCTAAGAAGCAGCAGAACGGAGATGAAGAGTTTATTCTTCACTTAGAGGAGCGAGGTGAGGACAGAGGTTACTCTAGAGAAAATATCTGTTCAATAAATGTCAGTTCCTATTGCCCTAAAGAGTGGAGTCCTGTGGCTTAGTGGATAGAGCACTCGCCTCGCAAGCGAGAGGACCCAGGCAGGGCAAAATATTGGGCAAGTTTCCTTACTCCACCTTCCTCTGTTTACCTAGCAGTAACTGGGAGCCCCGTTGTTCGTCGATTGGTGGATCGCTTTCCGGGGGTAATAATCCCTTCAAAAAAATAAATAATTTTATCAGTAATAATTTGGTTACTCAATTCACAACTGTTTGTGGGACACAGCTGGTGCGCATTTCGCCCACATACATATACATTCAATTCACTTTGCGGTGTATCCTGTGAAGCGCTTTGAGACGTTTCGAAGACACGATAAGGCACTATATCAAATGCAAGGGTCATCATTATTATTGTAAAGTCACTTGACAGACAGCGTAGAGGAAGCTTTACTGTGTCTCTATCCCTGACCTGGGCGTGTGGACGGCAAGTGTAGTGGGAGTCTTACTCTGTCACTAACTCATTGAAAGGAAGAGGAAAAGAGCTGTGGGGTGGGGGGTTCATGTTGTGCAGAAATCCTTCAGAGTGTGGATTCTGTCTGAATATTCTCAGTGTGGAGTATTTTATATACTAATGATCTTTTCTTTCTCCTCTGGACAGTGAATCTGCCCGGACCCCATCTGCTGCTGACCCGTCTCATGGTTAGTATTACAACAGATTACATTTATACAGAGCCTACGCGTCAGGAGGACGTCCCAAGGTGCTGGACAGTGAAGGGTTTGCACCCGAGCTGGGTGTTGGGATCAGAGGGGTGGGAGGGCAAGGGGAATGGGGTGGCAGGGTGACCGAAGAGACCCTGCAGAGAGCAGGGTCATGGATGTGTGTGGAGAGCTGCACTCTGTTCAGTGGGACTGTGGTGTGTGTCTCTGTGTGTGTGTGTCTCTATGTCTGTGTGGTGTGGGGTGGGGACTGCACTCAGTAATCAGTGGGGCTGTATGTGCTGTGTATGTATGTGTGCGTGTTTATGTATGGCTCTGGTGTGTGTGTCTATATATGACTGGGTGTGTGTCATGGGAACATAGGAATTAGGAGCAGGAGTAGGCCATTCGGCCCCTCGAGCCTGCCCCGCCATTCAATAAGGTCATGGCTGATCTTCTATCCTAACTCCAATCTGCCCTCCTTATCCCCATATCCCTTAATCCCTCTATCCTTTAGAAATCTATCAATCTCAGTCTTGAATATGTTCAAGGACTGAGCATCTGCAGCCCTTTGGGATAGAAAATTCCATAAATTCACTACCCTCTGAGTGAAGAAATGTTTCCTCAACTCTGTTCGAAAGGGCTGTCCCTTAATCTTAAGACTGTGACCCCTGGTTCTAGATTCTCCTACCAGGGAAAACAGTCTCACACTGTCTACTCTTGTCAAGCCCCATAAGAATCTTGTATGTCTTATATGTATGGCTGTGTGGTGTTTGTGTGTGTGTGTGTGTGTGTGTGTGTGTATTCTGTTGTATGGTTGTGTGGTGGGTGTGTGTCTGTGTGGCGTGTGTTTCTGTTTGTATGGCTATGTGATGTGTGTCTATGCATGGCTGTGTGGTTTGTGGGTGTGTGTGTAGCTGTACTCAGTGATCAATGGGGCTACGTGTGTGGCAGGTGGTGTCCTCGTTCCCCTATCGAGGGAGGGGTCGGGGTCTGGCAGCCCTGAAGCTGCTCCAGGTGTTGAGTGTCAGCCTGCACCCCGCGCTGGGCAAGGTGTGCGACAGTGAGCTGGCCAGCCTCATCCACCATCTGGCAGGTAACTGACCGACCGACCGACCTTCCGACTGGGCTGTTCCCACGATCCGCAGCTTGGGGGTGGGCAAGTTTTCTTACTCCGCGCCCCTCTGTTTACTTGGCAGTAAGTAGGAATCCGATTGTTGATGGATTGGCGGGTCGCTCTCTGGGGGTAATCATCCCTTCAAAAATGTATTTGCTCGCTCAATCCACGACTGTTTGTGAGACGCTGCCGAGTTTCGCCCACAAAATACGCCGTCAATTCACTTCACGACGTATTCTGTGAAGCGCTTTGAGAACGTCTCGAAGACGTGATAAAGCGCTATATCGAATGCAAGGGTTTGACACACAAACACAAGGGTCTGTCCGACACACCAGAAACCCATCCTTTTTTATCTTTTCCCCCCCCCCCCCCCCTTGGCGTTTTGCCCCCTTCTTCATTTCTCTTTCTCTCTCTCTCTCTCTCTCCGCAGAGAATTCTGAGCAGTCCCTGCTTCAGCGGCAGTGGGAGGACAAGCTGTTGTTGGTGAGTGTGGCTGATATCTCACCCCCCCCCCCCCACCCTTGCCCCCTACTCTCTCTCTTACCTCCTCTCTTTCACCCCCCCACCTCTCTCTCTCCCCCTCTCTCTCTGCTCCTCCCCACTCACTCTCTCTCACAGTCCTCTCTCCCCCACCCTCACCCCCCTCGCACTATTGCTTTCTCTCACCCCCCTCTCTCACCCCCCTCTCTCACCCCCCTCTTTCTCTCCTCCCCTCTCTCTCCCCCCCACCCTCTCCCCCCACCCCACACTCTTTCATCCCCCTCTCTCTCACCCCCTACTCTCTCTCTCTTGCAGTTCCTGTCTCGGAGTGTGGAGGCTGTCAGTGATGACTTGTGGCGATCGCAACTGTGTGAGGAGATGATTCAACACCTCAACACCTACAGCAGCCACCCACAGGAGAAGGTGCTGGGCGGGGGCTCGTCTGAGCACGGAGGAGGGGGGATGTCTGGGGAGGGGGGATGTCTGAGCACGGGGGTGGGAGGAACGTCTGAGCACGGGGAGGGGGATCTTGGAGCGATGGGTGGGAGGGGAGGTTTAAGAGCTCTGGGGTGTCTTGCGGCGGTGGTGGTGGGGGCTCGGAGTCTTGTGTTGGGGAGGAGTGCTGGGGGTGGGGGTGTCAGTGCTGACTGGCCTCTCTGTGACCAGGGCTTCCTGTATAAGTGTGTGGGGGTGGTGCTGAGGCACACACACAGCCGGGACGCGGTGCGTAAACAGCTGCTGGAGCTGCTGCAGACAGTGCGACACACAGAGCCACTGGAGAGAGAGGTCAGGGCGCAGTGCGCGGGGGTGTGTGGGTGGGTGGGGTGTGTGTATGTGGGGGTCTCGCTGTCAGTGACGTAGTGCCTGTGGGGTGGGGTTTTGTGTGTGGGGTGGGTGGGGTACGTGGGATGGGGGTGAGTGTGTGTGGAGTGGGGGGCGCGCGTGTGGAGTGGGGGGCGCGCGTGTGTGTGTGTGGAGTGGGGGGCGCGCGGGTGTGTGTGTGTGTGGAGTGAGGGGCGCGCGCGTGTGTGTGGAGTGGGGGGCGCGCGCGTGTGTGTGTGGAGTGGGGGGCGCGCGCGCGTGTGTGTGGAGTGGGGGGCGCGCGCGCGTGTGTGTGGAGTGGGGGGCGCGCGCGTGTGTGTGTGGAGTGGGGGGCGCGCGCGCGTGTGTGTGTGGAGTGGGGGGCGCGCGCGCGTGTGTGTGTGGAGTGGGGGGCGCGCGCGTGTGTGTGTGGGGTGGGGGGGCGCGCGCGTGTGTGTGTGGAGTGGGGGGCGCGCGCGTGTGTGTGGGGTGGGGGGGCGCGCGGGGCGGGGGTCTCGCTGTCAATGACGGGGGCTGCTCTCTCTGCAGGGGGTGGCAGTCGGGGTGGGTTTCTGTGCGGCCACACACTTGGACGACACTCTCGGTAAATTGGAGGATTTTGGCAAATCCGATATTGTCAGGAAAACATCCAGTCTCTTCAACATCCTCAAGGTACTGGACAAGGGCTGTGTGTGTGAGTGCTGTGTGTGTGAGCCCTGCGCTGTGTGTGGGTGTGTGTGTGAGCCCTGCGCTGTGTGTGTGTGTGTGAGCCTTGCGCTGTGTGTGTGTGTGTGTGTGAGCCGTGCGCTGTGTGTGTGTGTGTGAGCCTTGCGCTGTGTGTGTGTGTGAGCCTTGCGCTGTGTGTGTGTGTGAGCCTTGCGCTGTGTGTGTGTGTGTGTGTGTGTGTGAGCCTTGCGCTGTGTGTGTGTGTGTGTGTGTGAGCTGCGCTGTGTGGGGGGGTGTGTGAGCCCTGCGCTGTGGGGGTGTGTGTGTGTGTGAGCTGCGCTGTGTGGGGGTGTGTGAGCCCTGCGCTGTGGGTGTATTTGTGATGTGTGTGTATGTGACTGTGCGGTGTGCTACAGGACAAGGCTGATGTGGAGGTGGAGAAGGTGAGGAGCACGCTGATCCTGTGTTACGGCTATGTCAGCCTGCACGGCCCTGAGCAGCTCATCCTGCCTCGTATCCAGACTCACATCGTCAGGCTGGTCCTCAGCCACTTCAACACCAAGGTACAGCCCCCACCTCCCCCTCTCCAGCATTACTCTAAGAGATCAACACTGACACTCACACAGACCCCTCCCACACACACTCACCCCCACACACATGCTCACACAGACGCCCCTCCCCCCCACATACCACTTACACTGACCACCACACTAACACAGACCCCCCCACCCCCTCCACACACACCCCACACACACATACCCCACATACACACTCATACAGACCCGGCTCGCACGCACGTATACACGCAAAAAGGAACCGGCAGGCACACTCACTCACACAGACTTGATACACGAACACACGCACATACACTCACACACGGACCCGACTCACTCACTCACTCACACGCACATACTGACACATGTTTCAGTGCCTTAGGACATCCTCCGGACCTGAAAGGCGCTCTATAAATGTAATGTTGTTGTTCTTGTTGACACATAGTCACCCCCCCCCCCCCCCCCCCCCCCCCCCCCCACGCGTGAGTCCGCACTTCACACAGTCACACACACGCGCTCAGTGACTGAGTCTGGGAGGGAACTCCACATTGCCTGGGGCTATCCCCAGGGAGTGGGGGTGCGAGTGGGAGAGAGTTCCTGGAGGGTTTGGAGTGGTGCTGATTCACTCTCGCTTGTCTCGCAGGTTCTGGGGATAAAGGTTGAAACCAAGGTACCATTACAGTCTGGCCCTCGCTCTGTGTCTCAGGCAGGGTCTCACTCTCACTTTCTCTCTCTCTTGCTTTCTCTCCCTCTTTCTCTTATGTGTGTGTGTGTCTCTCTCTCTCTCACTTACACCCTCTCTTCCTCTCAACGTGAAAGGCACTGTGTAAATGTCATTTTGTATTTGTATTGTCTCTGTCTGTTTCTCTGTGTCTGTGTGTCTGTCTGTCACCCTCTCTCTTGCCCTCTCTCTTTCGCTCTCTCTCGCGTAAGCACTTTTTCTTCCTCTTTTCTTGCTCTCCCTCCCTCACTCGCTCTTTTGCTAACCCAGGATACTAACACTTCATAAAAATGGCAATAACCAATTTTCACTCTCGAATTAAGTGCCCTGAGACTCCTCCGTCTGGCGTGAAGGGCGCGAAATAAATGCGAGTTGTTGAATTGTTGGCTTGGGGACAACTGATGTGCAGGTGTGTGGGGTGGGTGGCGGTTAGAGAGGACCAAGGCCTGTTTGTGAGTGTGTGTGTGTGTCTCTCTTTTGTGCGCTCTGTGTGTTTCGGGGGTCCGGGTGGGGGGAGTGTGGGAAGATCTCCACGCAGATTGTGAGCCTCTATGAGTGTGAAGGGATTCCTGCAGCACTGAGTCCCTGTAGAGTGCGTGCTGTGTGCTGGGCTGATCTCCCCGCTCCTCTCCTCTCCTCCCCATCAGGACCTGACCGTCAAGCTCAGTTTGCTCCGAGCCGTCAGTCTGATCGCAAGAGCCGTCTACAGCAACACGGCCAACCAGACCTTCACCTTCAGCCACAAGGGAGAGCTACTGCACCTCCTGCAGGTCAGTCACCCTCACACACACACCCTCACTCGCACACCCAGGCCCTCGCACACTCCCTCGGGGGTGGGGGGAGTGCGCTGACTGCCCCAGAGAGGCTCAACTCTCTCTCTCTTTCCCCCGCCTCTATTTATCTCCCTTTCTCTATTTCCTCAGCCTCTCCCTCCTCCTCTCTCTCCCCCTGTCTCTCTCTGTCTCTCTCTCCCCATCTCTGTCTCTTTCTCCCTCCCTCCCCGCTCTCTCTCCCTGTCTGTCTCTTCCCCCTCTCTGTGTCCCCCTCTCTCACTCTCCTGTGTGTGTGTGTGTGTGTGTCTCTCCCTGTCTCTCTCTTTCACTCCCTATCTCTCTCCCCTCCCCCTCTCTCTGTGTGCCCCCCCCCCCCACCCTTCACTCCCCTGTGTCTTTCTCTGTTGCAGGACCTGATCAAGGCTGAGCCCCCGGATGTCCTGAGGACCCCAATTCGCCAACACGCCATCACAGCCAGTCTACACCTCCTGTATCCTTCCCCAAGACCCCATCGGCCATCAGATCAGACATTAAACCGAGGTCCCGTCTGTTCCTGTTCAGGTGGACGTTAAAGATCCCGTGTCCCTGTTGGAAAAGAGAAAGGAGTTTCTTTCTCCTGGTGTCCTGACCGACAATCCCCCAAATAACAACAGTATATTCTGTAAAGCGCTTTGAGACGTCTAGAAGACGTGAAAAGCGCTATATCAAATGCAAGGATTATTATTATTATAAAACTGTTCACTCACTTCATGGCTGTTTGTGGGACGTACCCTCGCATCCCCCCCTCTTGCCTCCTCGCTCCCCACCTTCAAATCCAGCCTAAATACCTTCCTTGTTGATCGCGCTTACGGTCACCTCCCCACTCCCTCTCCCCCTGGCTCGGTGACAGACTCCCCCACTGTAAAAACACTTCGGAACGCTACCCCGCTTGAAGGGCGCTATATAAATGCAAGTTGTTGTGTGTTTCTCGCTCCGGTACATCCACACCCCCTCATCTCCCTCCCTGCAGCGCCCCCACCCCACCACCCGCCCCCATGACGAGAATCTTCCTTAACGCAGCGTCAGGAAGCTGGACCCAATGCTGAGTGAGGCTGACTTGTATGAGCTGATCACCACCTGTCTGGGCAGTGTATTCTCCCTGCCACCGCGGCTCGCCACCGAAAAGGGCAAGGAGGAGGCCATCACTGACATGAAGGAGCGTGAGGTAAACATGGGGGGCGCAGAGTCCCGGAGCTCAGTGGTTAGAGCACTCGCCTCGCAAGCGAGAGGACCCTGGGTTCAATTCCCGGGCAGGACGAAACTTTGGGCAAGTTCCCTTACTCCACACACCTCTGTTTACCCGGCAGTAAGTAGGAACCCGGTTATTAGCCGATTGGCGGATCGCTTTCCGAGGGTAATAATCCCTCCAAAAAATTGGGTCACTCAATCCACGACTGTGGGGACGCTGCTGTGCACCATTGGCTGCCGCATTTCACCCACAAAACACACAGTCGGTTCACTTTACAGTATATTCTGTGGAGCGCTTTGAGACATCTCGAAGACCGTGAAAAGGTGCTGTATCAAACGCGAGGGTTTGTTGTACACGCACACTGACGCTCTCTGTCTCTCTTTCCCCAGGTGATGTACACAGACGCACTGACTGCTTTGCAGGAGTTATTGATGCAAATCCTGCTCCAGGACTTGTCTCCTGATGGGCTCCAGGCTGTGTTCAAGGTACCAGTGCAGTCCCCTACTGGCTTAGCCTCCACCCAGCACTCTTACTTTGCTCTCATGCTCTCTCTGCGCGTTTCGGTGTGTGGGTGTGTCTCTCCCTCTCTCTGCATTTCTGTGTGCATGTGTCTCTCTCTCTCGTTTATCACTCTGTGCGCCACTCTTGTTCCCCCTCTCTCTTTCTGTCTTTCTCTCTCTCTCCCCCCTGACCAGGAATGGCTCCCCTCATCCTGTCTTATTGTTTTGGCAGCACATCGAGCCCTGGTTATCAGCAAGAGACCACGAGCGGGAGCGAGCTACGGAGACCACCTCCAAACTGCTGGCGTTCTACCTGGACAAGCTCAACATCCGAGTGAGCACAGACACGATGGGGAGAGAGCAGGGAATGGGGGTTAGAGTAGAGAGCTCCAGTGGGGGAGCGAACACCAGCACAGACACGATGGGGAGAGAGTAGGGAATGGGGTTAGAGTAGAGAGCTCCAGTGGGGGAGCGAACACCCGCACAGACACGATGGGGAGAGAGCAGGGAATGGGGTTAGAGTAGAGAGCTCCAGTGGGGGAGCGAACACCCGCACAGACACGATGGGGAGAGAGCAGGGAATGGGGTTAGAGTAGAGAGATCCAGAGGGGGAGCGAACACCAGCACAGACACGATGGCCTCCTCCCTCCATTAACTCACCTCCTCTTCCCCAGAACATGGTGGCGTTTCACAACTTGGGGGCTCTGATTGGGCGAGTGATCCCACGCTGCGCGGATCCCCTCCCCACTGTACGGCGGGGGGCTGTGGAGAGCATCTACACCCTGCTCTGTATCCAGCTGCGTTACGAAGGTGAGTTGCAGTGGGGAGGGGTCTTTTGTGGCGGGAGGTAAGAGGGGGCTCTAGGGCTGAACTGGCTCCAAGGCGGCATGACCAGGAATGGAAGGTCGGAATCGAGCCTCCGTGACAGTCTAGTCCGGTTCCTGAGCCAGGAGTGTCCGCAGTATTCCAGGGCACTCACCGCTGTTGACAACACAGCCCGGCCTGGCTCATCAGCAGGACTCGGAAGAGCCGACCAGCCACTGTGGCCGGGAATCATCTCACTCAGCTACTGTTAACCCTGCAAGCCAAAGCCCTGATGGGTGGGTGGTCCTAGTCGGACAATCAGCAGCAAGTTATACGGAGACTAGAGAAGATGGGATTGCTCTCCTTAGAGCATAGCATAAGGGGAGAATTAATAGAGGTGCTCAAAATTATGAGGGGTTTCGATGGAGGGCACATAGATTCGAGATAATTGACAAAAGAACCAGAAGGGAGATGGAGGCAAATGTTTTCACACAGAGAGTTGTTACGGTCTGGAATGCGCAGCTGGTGGAAACAGATTCAATAACAACTTTCAAAAGGGAATTAGATAGGTACTTGAAAAGGAAAAATTTGCAAGGATTATGGGGAAAGAGCGGGGGAGCGGGACTGTTTAGATAGCTCTTCCAAAGAGATGGCACAGGAGCAATGGACCGAATGGTCTCCTGCGCTCTAATATTCTATGATTGTATTCAATGGAAGTTTACCAGTCAGTACTCCCAATGGCGAGCTGTGTGGTTTTAGCTGGTTAGACTACAGAAGTAACCCCAACGCACCAGTCTGCGTTCCCAAGCCTTGGCTCTTGCCAACCTGCGCCTAATACTTTCTGGAATTGGGTAAGCGGGGAGAGAGCGCATTCCATTCCAACAGTCTGTCTCTGGGATTTCCGTGTGTGGGTGGGATGCACGGGAATCTCAACTTGGTTTGGAGACTCTTAAGCAACGGTGATGGGTTTCTGCATGTATCAGACACCCGGCTCAGCAAAAACAAACCAAAAAAATGGAGGGTGGGTGGGCGGGTTGGAGCAGAGAAAGAGGGTGTGGGAATAGGCAGCGCTTGGGACTAGATATTTGTATAGATATTTGTTAGGTCAGGGTGCCAAGGGATATGGAGCAAGAACGGGCAATTGGAGTTGAAGTGCAGATTAGCCATGATCTTATCGACCGATGGAACAGGCTCAAGGGGCTGAATGGCCTCCTCCTGTTGCTATGTTTCTATGACTGTGCTGATAAATGAATGTTGTGCTCCTCCCTGCGCAGGCTTTGCTCTGGACCACCGGGACGAGGAGGTGGAGTTCCTGCGCAGTGTGAAGGACGGTCTGGGCCAGGCTGAGAGCAAGGTCTTGCTCCGCATGTGCTCTGACATTGGCAAGGTGAGACCCTGCCCCACGGAGTCAGGTGGGGCACCAGCGAGAGCTCCACACCAGCCTAGAATCTACCAGAGTCCCCCAGCGGAGGGGAAAGGACGTGGGTTCAAGCCCCATTTCGGGATCGGAATCACATACCCTTAAGTTGACGCTCCAATGCAGTGCTGGCAGGGTGGGGTGGGGGGGGGTTGCATTGTCAGAAGTGCCGTCCTTCGGATGAGATGTTAACCGCCCCCCGCACCCCCCCCCCACCCCGAGGCTGGCTCAGCAGTGTGACACAAGTGTGTCCTCATGACAGCCCCTGCCTTCGACTGGGGATGGGATGTGTGGGGAGCTGTAGCTGTTCGGCCGTGTAGGGAAGGCGCTGGCGATGTGTGTGGACCTGCTAACCCTATATCAACCCGTCTGCTCCTTTCGCTCGGCGGGCTCCTGCCTGCTCCGTGTCCCCCGCCTGGCCCGCCCCACCATCGACTGTTGGGCCTTCAGCCTCTCTGCCCCCACCCTATGGAACTCCATCTCATTCGCCTCTCTCCTCTGACATGTGACATTCGTTCCTCTTCGACCGTGCCTTTGGCCACGAAGTGTGGGCTACGGCTGTTTCTGCGGCCGGTGGGGAGGGAAAAGACACTGCCGAGGATGTGGTGCTGCCCAGAGTTTGGAGGGAGGGAGGAGCGGGACCCGTACCCGAGGCTCGGTGGGGCTTAGCTCGAGCTCTCTGACCCCCTGCGATTGTCGGCAGGTGATCTCAAAGCGGATGCCCCAGGATCAGGTGAACACACTGCTCTTCATGCTGTTCGAGGGGTTGGGAGACCAGCACCCCAGCGCTGCCATCGCAGCCGCCATCCTCATCAACACCCTGGTCCACATCCGCGGGACTGGCCTCGGCGACCAGGTGAGGGATGTGTTGGGATCCACGGAGATCTCAGTTTGGTTTGGAGACTCTTAAGCGACGGCGATGAGTTTCCGCGCGTGTCAAGGCACCCGAGGGTGGGGGGTGGGGAGGGGGGGCTGAGCAGAAACAAGATACCGTTAGTTTGGCCACCGGGTGGCGCTCTTGCGCCGCGTTACCTTCTGCGGCGCAGCGAGAAAGTGACACCTAGTGGTGGTGAGAGGCTATTAACAATCCTCACATTTGATACAGAGCCTCGTTGGGGGAACCACATCGTCACCGCGTTTACTGTAAAGTGTAGTGACTGTGAATTTCGTAGGCGAACGCAGCAACCCAGTTTTGCGCCTAGGAATGTCCCGTGAACAGCCCTTCAGATGAGACGTCTCAAGGTCCGGTCTGGCTGTTCAGGCGGACGTTAAAGATCCCCCGGAGCTATCGGAGAAGAGAAGGGAGTTTTTCTCTCTCTCTGTCCCGCTGTCCTGCCCGACAATCCCCCAGATAAAATTGGCCACTCTCTCCATGGCTGTTTGCGGGGCACTGCTGTGCGCAATTGGCTGCCGCGTTTTGTGTTTTGCCTACAAAAATACAGTCACTTCACCTTACAATGTATTCTGCAAAGGGCTTCGAGACTCTATATCAAATGGAAGGGTCGTTATTATTCTGATTTTATGTGGGGGATTGTCAGCCAGGACACCGGGAGAGAAAGATAAGAGAGAAACTCCCTACTCCTTTCCAATCGCGCGGCGGGGATCTTTGATGTTTAGCTGGACAGGCAAACAGGACTCCTCTCCTCCCCTCTCTAACTCCTCTCTCTATCCTCCCCACTCCAGGTCTCCGAGGTGTTGGAGGTTCTTCATCTTCAGCTCCAGTCGGTCACTCAGGAGCAGGTCAAGTTCTCTGTGTTACAGACGGTCTCTCTCCTGGCTGCTCAGAACATGCCGGCGGTGGTCGCTTGTCTCCTCTCACACCCTCTGCCCTTTGACAGGTCAGAATAATCCTAATGATAATAATAATAATCTTTGCATTTGATATAGCGCCTTATCACATCTTCGAGCCGTCTCAAAGCACTTCACAGAATATACCGTAAAGTGAATTTGATTGTATTTTGTGGGCGAAACGCAGCAGCCATTTGCACGCAACAGTGTCCCACAAACAGTCGTGGATTGAGTGCCCAAATTATTATTTTTAAGGGATTATTAGCCCCAGAAAAGTGATCCGCCAATCGACTAACAACTGGGTTACTCCTCGGTAAACAGAAGTTCGTGGAGTAAGCAAACTTGTCCATTGTTTCGTCCTGTATTTTATTTATGAAACATCAGCTGCTCGAGCTACGCGATTTTAGCGGCTTAGACTCCAGCAGTTACCCCAACACACACTCTGGGATCCCCCGAGCCTTGGCTCTTGCCAACCTGCGCCTAATACTCTCCGGAATTAGTTAAGCAGAATACGTCCCTCCAGGGAGAGAGAGAGAGAGAGAGAGAGAGCGCATTCCATTCCAACCATCTCTTCTGGAATTTCCGTGTGTCGGTGGAATACATGGAATTCTCAGATTGGTTTTGCTTAAGCTTAAGCTTCTCGGCTTAAACACAGTGATGGGTTTCTACATATGTCAGACGCTCCCTCGAGATCGTTCTGCCATTCTATAAGATTGTGGCTGATCTGTACCTCATGGCCAGTTACCTGCGATTGCCCCGTATCCCTTAACACCCGGACCTAACAAACATCTAACGATCCCCGCCCAGACACTTGGCAACAGAAAACTGCCCGTGAGTGGGGAAGACCAGGAGCCGGGTTCAGTAAACGGTCTTTCTGTTACTCTTAACCTTGTCGGATAATCCTACTCTCTCGTCCCCCCTCTTCCCTTCTCTCTGCTCTCTCTCTCTGTGTGTCTCCCCCTGCTCACTCTCTCTCCCCCACTTTCTCCCCTCGCCTCTCTCCCCACTTCGCTCCCTCGCCTCCTCTCTCTCTCTTCCCCTCTCCCCCGCTCTCGCTCTCTCTCTCCCCCGCTCTCGCTCTCTCTCTCCCCCCTTCTCCCCCTCAGAGAGGCTGGGGAGCTGTGGCAGGCATTGGCCCTGATGTTGCCGGGGGAGGGGGCTCAGGCCCGACTGACCCTGGAGCACCTGGTGGAGAAGCTGAACAAACAGCTGCCGTACGAGGAGAAGCGAGACTCCCTCCTGCGCAAGAGCGTCACCCGCTACGCCACCATCCCCACCCTCGCCGTGAGTACGCTCAACCCCCACCACCCCCCATCACCCCTCCAACACCCACTACCACCACCACCTTTGTCGCCCCACACCCTGACCGTGAATACCCCTTCGCCTCATAACCCCCTAATACCCCCCACCCATGAGCCTCCCCCCTCCTTCTCATAACATCCCCCCCAACACCCACTACACCCTCCATGAGTTATTACTGTATGTTACTCAGGTCACTTGTGTGTGTGTGTGTGTGAGTTATTACTGTTGTTACCCAGGTGACGTGTGCACTGTGTGAGATGCTGTCCCGGCCGGAGGTGGGGGAGGTTGTGCTCAGTCTGTATCCTCAGCTCCTCTCCTGCTTGTTGGTACGCGTGGGGTCCAGTGTGGGGGTGCGGCCCCCCAGAGACCCACCAAACACCGGGGCCAAGAGATCCGGCCAGACTCGCCCCCCAGGAGCCTGGACGTCTGCAGGTAACTGTTCACTCTCCCTCTCTCCCCGTACCCTCTCACCTCCACCCCCCCTAGTGCCATGGGGCCCAGGTTAAAGGGGTGGTGCCTTTTGTTACAGCTGCTCGGTGAGTGCCCTGAAGGCGCTGTTGGCTCGGGGGAAGGCCCAGGCCGTGCTGAAGGCCATGGAGGACGAGGGCGGCTGGGAGATGATTAAGGATCCGGAGAAACACCCTGAGGGGGTCGCTGTACTGGCCAGGTAGGGGAAACAGCGGAGCCCGGGGGCAAGAACAGGGAGGGAGACCAGCCTCATGTACTGAGATACCTGGGCTGTAAGTTGGGCTGGAAACTGAGCGAACTGCAAACTCTTGACTGGGTTCTGGAGGAGGAAGTCCAGCCAGGGACCCCCCTGCTCTCCATTGCTGCTGGAGGCTTGAGGTTGGATGAGAGCAGGATCGAGGCTGAGATCCCTGGTCCAATATCTGGCCCATATACTCTGCCAAGACACTATCCGTGTGAAGGCTGCTGTATAAATGTGACTTGTTGTTGTATAAGGTTGTGGCTTCAAACCGCCACGTCAGGAACTTTGAGCTCACGCTTTGAGGATTTTTTTGCTCAGTCGGGTGTCCGACACGTGCGGAAACCCATCACCGTGTTTAAGAATCTCCAAAACCAGGCTGAGAATCCCAGGCATCCCACCCACACATAGAAATCCCAGAGATAGATTGTTGGAATGGAATGCGCAATCTCTCTCCCTGGAGGGACGCATCCCGCTTAACTAATTCCGGAAAATATTAGCCGCTTGGGGGGGACCGGACCCTAGAGTGTGCCTTGGGGTAACTGCTGGAGTCTAACCAGCTAAAATTGCATAGCTTACCACTGAGACCGCTGACTGGCCAAGCTTTCCCGCTGCTTGTCCAGCGAGGACCACCCTACTTTGGCTTTGGTTAACAGGAGCTGAGTGGGCGGATTCCCTGCCCCCAGTGACTGGTCTGCCTTCCCAGATCCTGCTGAGGAGCTGGCAGTCCAGGCTGATGCCCCAGGGCAGTGCTGGAGGTGCCAGGTGTGCCTGTTCAGGTGGACTGGGGAGAAGAGTTTCTCCTGGTATCTCGGCTGATGATCCTCCAAATTAATTGCTGGTTCACTTCCTGGCTGGATAAGGAAGGAGAGGCGCTGGAGAAGGATGGTGTGGTCGACTGTGTCGAACGCAGAGGAGTGGTCGAGGACGCAGAGGTTTAATCTCTCACCCGAAGGACGGTACCTCCAACAATAAAGACCTCTCTCTCTCTGTCTCCGTCCTCCCAGCGACCTCCCCAATACTGAGCTGGAGCATCAGCCTGGACTGTGAGCTCACAGCCCTGACTTCTCTGGGGGCAATTTCAATTCAATTAAATCATAGCTATTGAGATGTTTTGCCGCCGTAACAAACTCCATGTTTCTGTCTGTGCTTCCCAGTGGCTATGTCACTGCCCCTCCCCTGGCTACAGTGAGGGTCTGACTCCCGCGGGGGTGGTGGGGGGGGGGAACGGGCTGTGTGTAACTGCTCTTGTTGCCCAGGGCGATGGCTCAGCACAGCGCTCCCCACCTGAGCGGCATTGTGGAGCAGTTATCTCCCACCCTGACCAGTGTGTACGAGGACCAGAGGATCACAGTCACTGCGTTCTACGCAGAGGTGAGGACCACGGGGTGGTGGCATGTGCGTGTGGAGTAATGTGTGGGGGGGAGCGGAGTAATGTGGGAGAGGGGGCAGAGTATCAAAGTGATTCACTGGGTACAATGTAAAGTGTAGTGACTGTATGTTTGGTGGACAAATATGGCAGCCAATTTGGCACAGCGACATCCCACAAAGTCATAACACAGATGACCAGTTGTATCTGGGGATTGTCGGCCCGGACACCGGGAAAGAGGAACTTTACACGAATAGCGCCATGGGATTTTTAATAATAATAATAATAATCCTTGCAGCACCTTATCACGTGGCTGAGACGTCTCAAAGCACTTCATAGGCTACATTATAAAGTGTAGTGACTGTATTTTGTGGGTGAAATGCGGCAGCCAATTTGCGCACAGCAGCGTCACCCACACACACAGTCATGAATTGAATGACCAATTGTATTGTCGGCCAAGACACTGGGAGAGAAAAAACTCCCTTCTCTTTTCCGATAGCGCGGTGAGATCTTTAACGTCCACCCGACAGGCACAGACTTGACCTCGGTTTAGTGTCAAACACTGAGTTCAGTCCAAATCAATGAGAGAATCAGATGAATGAGGCCCAACATAGACAGTGGAGTCCTGTAGCTCAGTGGTTAGAGCCCTCGCCTCACATTTGAGAGGTCCTGGGATGGATTCCCGGGCAGGGGAGAACGCTCGGCAAGTTTCCGTACTCCACCCGCCTCTGTAGTAAGTAGGAACCTGGTTGTTAGTCGATTAACGGATCGCTTTTCCGGGGTTAATAATCTCTCTTCAAAAATAATGATAATTTTGTCACTCAAACCACGTCTGTTTGTGCGCAATCGGCTGCCGAGTTTTCCCCACAACCCACACAGTCATTACACTTTACGGTATATTCTGTGAAGCGCTTTGAGACGTCCCGAAGACGTGATCAGGCGCCGTATCAAATGCCAGGATTATTATTATATAAACGAGCTGTGCTGGGCTCAGGGCTGACAGGAGCAGGCGGGTGTGGAGGTGAAGTGAGTTGTGTGTGTGTGTGTTCCTGGCCGTCCTTGGCTCTCGCTGTTGGAAAAGTCAGTGTCATGGATTTTCGGGAATGTTTTGCTGGATTCCCTTCAGCTTCCTTTCCCGCATCAGAGTTTCCATCACTGGGATCTCACAACCTTCCCTCCCTCCCTCCCCCAGTCCCGCTCCCCCCACCTCCCTCCCTCCCCCCCCCCCCGCCCCCCCTCACCTCCCCGTGTCTCTCTCTGACGCTGTGTGACTGTCTCTATCCACAGCTGCTGAACCACCATGTAATGGCTGACTTGCTGCTGGTGGACGCACTGGTGAGCAGCCTCCTGCGCTGCCTGGTGGACTCCTGTCCTGTCGTCCGCATGTTGTCCATCCGGGGGCTCGGCAACGTGGCTGTGGGAGCTGCCGCCCAGGTAACTTTACTGCGTCTCTAACCCTGACCTGGGAGTGAGGACGTACTGTGTCTCTGAGCTGTACTGACCGTATCTGATCTGTAATAAGTTCTTTCCCGTTTTCTCTCTCCCTCTCTCACACACGCTCTCCCTCCCTCACACGCTCTCTCCCTCTCACACACGCTCTCTCACACACGCTCTCTCCCTCTCACACATGCTCTCTCCCCCTCACACACGCTCTCTCTCCCTCTCACACACGCTCTCGCCCTCTCTCACACACGCTCTCTCTCCCTCTCACACACGCTCTCTCCCCCTCTCACACACGCTCTCTCCCCCTCTCACACGCTCTCTCTCCCTCTCACACACGCTCTCTCCCCCTCTCACACACGCTCTCTCCCTCTCTCACACACGCTCTCTCCCTCTCTCACACACACTCTCCTTTGGGATGGGGACAGATCCACAAGTACGCCACGCGGCTGCTGTCAGCGCTGATCGCGGGGATGGATGAGAAGGACGACCCCGGTGACCTGATCACACTGGAGGCCATGTCTGGCCTGGCCAAGGTGCTGGAGGTGCTGGAGGACAGCAGTGTCCAGCCCATCCTCATCAACATCGCTCTCCGCATCAGGCCATTCTTCGAGAAGGTCAGACTCTCTCTCTCTCTCTCTCTCACGCGCATGTGCAAGCTCTCTCGCTCTCACTTTCTCTCTCTCTCTATCGTTCGCGCTCTCTCACTCTCTGACTAGCTCTCTCTCGTGCTCTCGTTTTCTCTCTCGCTGTCTGTCTCTCTAGAGCTCTCGTTCTCTCTCACTCTCTCTCAGGATAAGGAGCGAGTGCGAGCGGCAGCGTTCACAGTGTTTGGGAGCCTATCGAGGTTTGGTGACGGACAGTCCAAGGCTGATTTCCTGGAGCAAATTCACTCCAGTCTGGTCAGCCTCCTGCTGCATCTCAACGATAGCAGCGAACTGGTGGTGAAGGTACAGCACTCCACAGGGACTCCCTCTCACTCACACACACTCTTCACACACGCACACGTTTTTACACACATACACAATCTCTGTTCACACACACTCTCCTCACACGCACTCTCCTCACACGCACACTGTCCTCTTACATACACGCTCTTTCACACCCTCGTTCACAGTCTCACCTGTTATGTCTCTCCCCTTCATACTCGCTCTCTCCCCCTATGTCCACCCCCACATTACCTCCTCTCTTTTACTCTCTCTCTATTCCCTCTCTCACTCTCCATCTCTTTCACACACACTCTCCATCTCTCTCTCTCACACACACTCTCTCTTCCTCTCTCACTGTCTTTCACACAATCTCACTTGTCTCTCTCTCTCTCTCTCTCTCTCAGGCCTGTAAGTTTGCGCTGCGGCTGATAGGACGGTTGCTGTGCTCAGTGAGTGTGGGCTCCATGTTCCAGAAGCACCTGCTGGGGGAGGCCAGTCTGCACTACGGAGAGTTCATCAACAACTTGTCTAAGCACATCGTGAGTATCTGTACTAACCCCCCCCCCCACAACACGTCAAGAGTATCTGCACCTCCCCATAACCCCCAACACATTGTGAGTGTCCACACTCCCCATCCCCTGACCCCATACACCCCCCCCCCCCAACACATTGTGAGTCTCCGCACTAAACCCCCCACTGTCTCGCCCCCACCCTCCACACCACCAAAAAACACATGGTGAGTCTCCCCCCACCCAGTGACCTATCCAAACAGCTGGGGTGGGAGGGTGTCTTGGTGGGGGGGGCTGCTGCTCATTGCCCTGAATGTATCTGGTTACAGATCAGTGATTTCCCGGAGAAGATTAATTTCTATGTGATGGGCTGCATGGCTTTCTTCAGGAGCGTCTGGCCTGAGATCAGGGCCAATGCTGTCATGTTCGCAGGTATGTAGGGGCGGAGGGGGGGGCTGGGTGGGGTGGGGGGGGTGGTCTGGCTGTGGTGGGGGGGCCTGGCTGAGGGGTGGGGGGGAGAGGCATCAAAATAGGTTTAAAAGCTGAACACACCAAATGTACAGGGTGACCAAACAGTCGTTTGCAATTTCTAATGAGTCTTAAGGAAATTATGATATTTTTTCTTTTTTTTTTAGATAATAAGAGTAGGTATCACGACCCTGTATTTGGCGTCTCCCCCCACACTGTCTGTCCTGACAAGACAACCTCTTACCCTGTGTTTTTTCTCGCATTCCTCCCCTCCCTCTCATTGTTCCATCATCTCTTTGATGGAGAATTAATTGCTGGAGAGTTTTTTTTTGTGTGGATCAAAAACCAATGTTAATGAAAGCCCCGAGACATAAAGGATTAAGATCAGTGGAACAAAGTTGGAGTGTTTCCTGATGGGAGCGGAGAGGCTGTGGCGCGCGCGTGTGGGTGGGTGGGTGGCGGGAGGTGAAGCTTAGGTGGTGATATGCGATTGTCTGTTCTCCACTCAAGGTTTCCTCCTGGGCAACCTCACCCCCAGCCAGCTGCAGACTGTGTCCCTCGAGCACGTGTGTGCAGGTGACGTGCCTCTCCGACCTGCTTATACCCCCCCACCCCCCCCCCCCCATTCTGCTGCCCAATGCCTCCACTTGAGAGAAGGCACCTGTGCAGGAGTGAGAATAAATAATCGCGCGTTTGGACCAATGTTTGGACAAAATTATATTTGTGTAGGGCTTTTCACGTTGGGAGGACGTCCAAAGGCGTTGGATAGTCAATGTTTCGGACCCGAGCTGGGGGTCGGGATCGGGTAGGGTGGAAGGAGGGTGGTCGAAGTTACGGTTGAAGAGGAGGGTCTTGAAGGAGGCAAAGGAGGGGTGAGGCGGAGGGACTGCAGGATGGAGTCACAGAAGGTGGGGATAGGGTGGCTGAAGGCTCACCCGCCAATGGGGGGGGCAGGCGAGGAACAGGCTGCAGTCCACTGAGCAGAGGGAGCGGGCAGGTTGGTAGGGGGTTAGGAGGTCACAGAGGTAAGGGGGGAGCAAGGTCATGGGAGGGCTTTGAAAGTGAAGACCGGGATCTTGAACTGTATGCTGTGTGTGATGGGAAGCCATTGGAGTCGGGTGAGGATGGGGGTGATAGGGTCAAGGAGCCTGGTGCGGGAGAGGGCACAGAGTTCTGGATGATCTGCAGCCTATGGAGGGAGGAGTTGGGGAGGCCGTCAAGCAGGGCATTGGCATAGTCGAGCCCGGACGTTATGAATGCTTGTATGAGAGTTTCAGCGGCCTGAGGGGTGAGGCAGTGGCAGAGTTGGGCGATGTTGCGGAGGTGGGGAAGGTCATGGCACGGATGTGGGGAGAAAGGACAGTTGAGGGTCGAACAAGGCGCCTAGGTTATACACGCTGTCGAGATTCTCAAGGTGCTACAAATAATTAACTGAAGTCTAGTGACTGTGCGTTTTTGGCAAATGCAGCAGCCAGTAGGTACCCACATCACACCCGCTCTGGCCGGGCTCCACTGGCTCCCTATCACTGAACAGATCGATTTCAAGATCCTTCATGCTCTGGCACCTCCCTACCTCTCCGACATGTTTACTACCAATCCACTGCCCGTTGCCTCCATTTGGCTGGCTATGGCCTCCTGCATGACCCTCGTGGCCTCCGCTCCATTATCGGCAGGTGTGCTTTCAGCCACTACGCCCTAAAACCCTGGAACTCTCTCGCTCCATCCCTCCGCCTTGCCCCTCCCTTCCCCATCTTCAGGTCACACGTGATGACCTTCCGCTTCGACTGTGCCTACGGTCACCTTACTGTGCCTCCCTTGACAGTGGCAGTGTGCTCCGCCTGTGTCAAGTGCTCCGGGACACTACCCCACAAGTTACTGTTAGTTAAACACGCCTCAGGTTACCCAGCAGTACGTAGGAACCCGGTTGTTAGTAGATTGGCACATCGCTTTTCCGGGGGCAGTAATCCCTTTAAAAAAAAGTTTTAAATAATAATTTGGTCGCTCAATCCACGACTGTTTGTGGGACACCGCTGTGCACAATTTCACCCATAAACCATACAGTCACTACCTTCACAGTATATTCTGCGAAGCGTTTTGAGACGTCTTGAAGACGTGATAAGGCGCTGTATCAAATACACGGATTATTACATTATTATTGTTGATTCCGACAGAAAGGTAGAAGGAGCTCTACTGAGACTGACTGCAAGCTGTGTTGTGACTGGTTTGTGTGGGGGGGGGGGGGGGGGGTGGGGGGGGCGCGGTATCTGAGCTGCACATTGTAGACGGGTGATGTAAGGGAGAACGAGGGGTTAAGCTGTGGGAGCACAGACTGTCAGGTTGAAGCAGTAACAATAGCAATCCTGTTCCCTAATGATGGGGGCCGCCTGGGATTGTGCTGCCTGGCTTCCTGGAGGCCAGGAACTCGCTGAAAATGTTCCAGGTGTGGCCGCGCCGAGCGAGGGCAAGGTGGTTCCGGGACTTAGCAGCCCCGCAGGGAGACGGCAGCTGTGCGAGAGGCTATAAATCAGCCCCCCACTCCGCTCGGCGCTGCCCTGCTCACAGCCCCTCTCCTGGGGCCCGCCATTCATCCTGCTCCCACATTCACTATCCAAACTCGCTACTGAAAAGGTAAGATTATTTTACTCTGCCTGGCCAGCGAGGGAGCGGGGGGCGTAACAACCAGGCAGAGCCACGCAGCCAGGCCACATCCTCGTCCTCGCCTTCAAAGCCCTCCACGGCTTTGCTCCTCTGTGACCTATTAGCTCCTTCCCTCGCTGTCGGCCAACTCTGGTCTGCTCCGCGTTCCCCACCAGCCCCTCACCATCGGTGGTCAGGCTTTCAGCCTCTCTGGCCCCACCCTCTGGAACTCCCCATCTCCCTCCCCATCTCCTTCAAGACCCATCTCAAGACCCTCCTCAACTACATCTTTGGTCACCCCCCCCCCCCCCCTCCCTCGATCCAATGTTTTTTTCTTCTTGCCCCCGCACTGCCACCTGCGAGGTAACACAGGGCTCCATCCTTGGCCACTTCTTTTACTCATCCACACACTCCCTCTCGGCGATGTCATCCGCAGACATGGGGTCAACTTTCACATGTATGCAGATGACATACCAATCTACTCCTCCAGCTGCGACTCCTAGTCCACTGATGTCCTGTCAGCTTGTTTGATGGACCTCAGGGCTTGGATGAGTGTAAATTTCTTGCAGCTGAATGTCAGCAAGACGGAAGCCATACTCTTTGGCTCCCGTCAACGTCTTCTCTAATGCGACTCTGAACTTCTCAACCTCCCCGGACTCTCCCTCAGACTCACCGAACCCGCAGCTGAAACCGATGCCCTCCTCGCTGGCCTCCCCAGCTCCATCATACACAACATCCAATTAATTTAAAACTCCACCGCCCAGATACTCACCTGAACGAAACTCAGTACCCCCATCACACCAGTCCTTCCCAGGCTCCACTGGCTCCCAATCCCTGAACGGATCAATTTCACGATTCCTCTCACTCATCTTTAAATCCCTTCATGCCCTGGCGCCTCCCTCCCTCTCCGATCTGGTTACCACCAACTCCACCACCCGCTGCCGTCGCTCCGCTGGCTCCGGGCTCCTGTTTGTCCCTCCTCCCCTCCGCTTCACCATCGGTGGCCGTGCCTTCAGCCTCCATGCCCTGAAACCCTGTGGAACTCTCTCCCTCAATCCCTCCGCCTGGCCCCCTCCCTCCATACTTTCAAATCACGCCTAAACACCTTCCCTTTTGACCGTGCTCATGGTCACCTCTCCCCCGGCTCGGGGTCAGACTCCGCCACTGTGAGGCACTCTGGCATTGCATCCCCGGGTGAAGGGCGCTATATAAATATGCAGTTGTTGATCCCAATCCCCTGCTCGTGTGAAACCCTTGACTGCCCAGTGCCTTGGGACGTCCTACTGACGTGAAAGGCGCTATACAGATGTAATTTTGTTGTTGTTGTAAATGTAACGTTACTGTTGTGTGCTCTGCCAGTTTCTCTCTCTGTGCGACTCTCTCAGTGCTGTCTGTCTCTCTCTCTCCCCAGCGATCCTCATGCTGCTGCAGGACGGTTCGCCAGAAGTCAGGATGAAAGCTGCCGAGGCTCTGAGCCTCCTGCACGGATTGTGAGGGACATCGATTCCTCCCTACTCCCCGCGGCCAGTGCTCTCTCTCTCATTGTCACTCACAATCCAGAGCCCTCAAGGAGAGAGCTTTGCTGCTGGACCTCGAGACCAAAGGCCATAGAGGGAGTGGGAGAGTGTTGTGTGTGGTCGGTTGACACGTTGGTGGGGATTGTGTGTCTTTGGTTGTGGTGCTGTACTGGGCAGGAGATGGTGTATGTGAGGGGCCAGGAAACAGGAGTCTGACTGGCATTGTGGGGTCAGCCATTCTGACAATGGTACACCCCCACCCCCCCCTCAACTCCTCCCAGTCTATGCTGCCCGTCGCTTCCCATGTTAGTTACGGGTTGGTGTGGGTGGGGAGGGAATTAAAGCCACATTTTGTAATGGTTAAATGTGGAGAAGGGGGTGGGTGGGGGGAACCGTCCTTGCCCTGTACTCCCCTCAGGGGGGAGTGGGGGAGAGCCAGGCTGCCAGCCTCACTATGTCTCTCTCTCTCTCCCCACCCACCCCCCCTCACCCCAAACACACAAGCTGTCTCACGTTTCCGATCGGTTTAGTTGTGACAACCGCCCGCCCAGCTGTCTCCAATTGTAAACTGAACAGTGAATGTAACAAGTCCTGTAAATCACTGTGCAAATAGGGTGTAGAATTATACACATCTCAATTGTATATCTGATTAAAAGCTGCCTTTTCACTGGTTTCTCTCTGTCACTGTCTCGGAGGGGAGGTGGGTGGGGGGGGGGGGGAAGGGAGCAGCAGTTCCTGGTGCTGACTCTCATTATTCACTGAGATAACAAAGCTGTAGAATTAGGGGAGAGAGAGAGTGTCCCTCTGTGTTATAAAATAATACTCCGTGCATTTGATATAGTGCCTTATCACATCGTTAAGACATCTCAAAGCGCTTCACAGGATATACTGTAAAGTAATCCTTGCAATTTGATACAGTGCCGTTATCACGTCCTCCAGACACCTCAAAGCGCTTCACAGAATATACTGTAAAGTGATGACTATATTGTGCGAGTGAAACGCGGCAGCTAATTGAGAACAGCCGTGTCCCACAAACCGTCGTAGATTGAGTGGCCAAATTATTTTTTTAAAGAATTATTACCCCTGGAAAGCGATCCACCAATCGACTAACAACTGGGTTCCTAGTTACTGCCGAGTAAACACAGGAGTGCGGAGTAAGGAAACGTGCCCAATATTTCCCACTGCCCAGGAATCAAACCCAGGTCCTCGCGCTTGTGAGGCAAGTGCTCTAACCACTGAGCGACAGGACCCCACAAAGCCATAGCACGACATAGGGAACGGCCTGGAAAAGGTCAGCAACTGCAGTTGTAGCCAAACACAAGAGGACAATCTGTAACGTCCACCTGAACAGGCAGCCGGCACTATCACGTCTGAGGACATCTCATCAGTCAGTGAGTGCCTTTCACAGCAAGTGGTGGTGAGGAGAGATTGGAGCTGTTTTGATGTGAAAGTGTGAGAGACAGGAGTGCGGAGAGCAACGGGCAGCTGCTGTTTACATCATCTCTCGGCTGTAAATGAGAAGGCCAGAGCGGAACTTGCTGTAGTCAGTTCTGACTATTCCTGAGGGACACAGAGACGGGACAGCATTGCTCACTCACCTGTAAACTGCCTATTCCTGAGATAAAGAGCACATACAGGAGCCAACACATTGCGTTCAATGCCTGCACTCACTCCACATCATTGCAGTGCCCATCCTACCCTCTCCCTACCTCTCCCTCCCTCCCTCCTTCCTTCCCCCTCCCTCTCAACTTCTAACCCACTCCCTCTCCAGAGAATGTGGGCAAGACTGCCAGCCCCCCAGTCGCAGGTCCCCAACCCCTCGGCTCACAGGGACAGTGGTGAGAGATGTAGAGCTGAGTGAAGCTGGCAGGATTGCCTCCTCCCCCAGGGCTGCAGGCCACTCGCCCACAGTCTAACCCGGGCTGCAGTGGACCAGTGAAGCGACGGACACAGAGATGAGCATCTGCTGCTTTTATTTTCACTGATAAAAATGAAAACCATCAAAGTTTAGGAGAAAAGAGTGATGGAACCGGCTGACCTGATGCAGGTGCAGAGCACGATCCTTATTACAGCCCCCTGCCCATGGGAGGGTGAGGGGTGGTGGTGGGAGGGGAGGGGAGGCTGCGAGGGCGTGTGGGGAGGGTGGTAGGTGAGGGGATGCCAGGGGAGCTCAGGTGAAGAGCCGGATGGTGCAGTCTGACCCCGAGGAGAAGAGCCAGGGCTGTGTGGGGTGGAAGGTCAGGTCCAGCACACCCAGGTCTCGGGTGATGGTGTGGCCACGCAGCAGCTTGACGGGGACAATGAGAGGGTTCTGCAGCAGGTCACTGTGAGAGGAAGAGACAACCTTACCATATGCTCCGTACACAACCACAAGCAACTAGACACAAACCTCGCCTCTTCCCCCCCACTCCCTCCCCTGCATGGGAAAATCCCAACCTGCACACACCTCCCAGCCTCCGACTGCACCAGAGAAAGAGGAGGCCGAATCCGTGAGAAAAAAAGACAGAGGGAGGAGAGACAGAGAGGGAGAGGAAAGAACAGGGAGAGGGAGAGGAGAGATGAACGGAGAGCGAGAGAGGGCGAGGAGACAGGAACAGATGTCAACAAATTTTATTTATATTGCGCCTTTCAGAGGAGAGACGGACAAAGGGAGACAGAGGAAAGAGAGGAGTGACGTGTTGGACAAACAGCCAAAGAGGAGTCGGAGCAGAGGGAGAGAAATTAGATGAGTCAGAATCCAAAGGGGAAAGAGGGAGAGTTAAGAGTGAGTGAGAGTCAATCCGAAGGGGAGAGGGAGAGTTACGGAGACAGTGAGGGTCACACCTACCTGTAGACCATGCCATGGCAGACAATGACGGTGCCGTCGTCTGAGGCGGAGGCGAACAGTGGGTAGTGACGGTGAAAGGCCACGGCTCTCAGGGCTTTCTTGTGATGTCTGTAAACAGGGAGGAGGTAGAGTCCCGTCACTGACAGCATTTCACACCATCTCTCAGCTCCTCACAGAGAATTGCTGTCAGTGGGACTATTTGCAGACAGACAACAGGCTCCACTGGCACCTCCTCCTCACCTTCAATACCTCCACAGCCTCGTCCCACCCAACCTCTGCCATTTTCCGTTAACCAACAGCCCTCTCCCCCCCACCCCACCCCTGTCTACGCTCAGAACCTAGCTCCTGCCCTCTGCAACTCTTCCCAAATTCATCCTCCTCCGCATCCAGCTTTCACAACTGTCTCCTACTGACTCCTACTCTGGGCACCTCCTCTCCCCACCCGGACCCTCACCCCCACTGTTGTTGTTTGTCTCCAGGCTCCGTCCCATCGAGGACCCTGACTCCCTCTCAGTAACGTTTCTCTGTGTGTGACACAGCACAGAAACAGGCCATTCTGTCCAACAGTCCGTGGCCCGTGTTTATTCTGCCCAAGAAGAACCCTCCCACCCCTCCTATTCCATTTCCTTCTCCAAATACATTGACACTTTCTGCTTCAACCACAGCCCCCGGCAGTGAGCTCCACTGCGAGGAGGTTCCTCCTAAACTCCCTGTTACTATCTTGTATTTCTAACCTCTAGTTACAGACACATCAGCAATTGGATCAACATCCACCTTATCGAATCCTTCACAATCTAAGAAACTCCCGGCTCTTTTCCAATCTCATGGCAGGATGTTTTATTGTCCACTTGAGCCCGTGGGACAGCACCCCCGACAAGGCCAGCAGCAACGGAGACAGACTAATACGTGACAAACACACACAGGGAAGGGAAGCCATCATCCCCTCTCACACAAAGCTCTTCTGAGAGGAAGTGATTGAAAGACGAGAGACTGACTGACCTGAGCACTTTGTAGGGTTTGGTAGAGAGATCCAGGTCAAACCACACCAGCCGGCTGTCATAGCTGCCACAGATCACATTGTCACCTGCCAAAGCACAGGAAGGTTAGACCACAGCTCTGGCCAGAGTCGCAGGGATTCCCCCCCACCCCCAAGACCCACCCGCCTCCCTCCACATTCTCCCAAGAGCCTCCATGGAGTCACAGCCTGCGACCCTTTCGGTTTGTGCAGTGGACAGAGCAACAGCTTATATTGATCTCAGACTGGGAGACTGAAATGTCCGTGGATTACGTGGGCTCTGGTTGCCCTTCACTTGCACTACCAGCAGAGGGTGCTGTACAGGAACCAGCAGCAGAAGCCTTGGCTAATTTTCACCTCCCTCGCCCCCCCCCCCCCCCCATTTAAAGTTGGTTTTAATTCAAGGGATGAAATTGCAGAATTATAACAATCTTCATCACGTCGCTGAGACATCTCAAAGCGGTTCACAGAATATACTGTAAAGTGCAACGACTTGAGTATTTTGTGGGCGAAACGTGGCAGTCGATTGGGCACAGCACAAACAGTCGTGACCAAACTGAGTGACCAAATTATTACATTTTTTTGGAGAGATTATTACCACCAGAAAACGATCCGCCAATCGACTAACAACCGGGTTCTTACTTACTGCTGGGTAAACAGAGGCGTGTGGAGTAAGGAAACTTGCCTAAGGTTTCTCCCCACCTGGGAATTCAACCCAGGTCCAATCCGCTTGCGGGGCGAGTGCTCTAACCACTAAGCTACGGAACTCCGTGTGAGAATGAGGGGACCTTGAGACCCACCTCGGGTCTTTCCCCAGAGTAGGGGAGAAGGTGAACCTATAACTTTTTTTAAATACATAAAATACAGGTTGCTGGTTGCCTCCCGCCCGCCGGTGTGACTGACCTCCAGGATGCACGGCCATGCTGGACACCCACTTGCAGTTGGCCAGCAGTTTCTTGGTGAGCTCTTGCTTGAGGAGGTTGTAGACGCGAACGTAGCGCTGGGTGGCCACGAAGAAGAAAGGCCGGATGGGGTGGAAGAGCACGCACTGCACCAGGCCCTTGTTCTTGCGGAAGGGGTTCTGGCTGCGGCGCTTGCTGAGCTGGTGGATCAGCACCTGGGCGTTCCCGTTGTCCGGAATGACGGTGGCAAAGTAGTCGCCTTTCCCGTGCCAGGTCACCTGCTTCACTGACTGCTCGGGGTGAAGAGTCGCTTACATTACACAACATTCGTGTCACGGCAAGAGGCCATCTGGCCCATCGTGTCTGCGCTGGTGCTCGCTCCCCCACTGGAGCTCTCTACTCTAACCCCATTCCCTGCTCTTTTCCTGGAACAGTTAGTCAAGGATTTGCATCCGAGCTGGTGGTTGGGATCAAGGTGGTTGGGGGTCAGGGAGGGTGGAGGTAGGAGTTTGACCGAAGACGCAGTCAAAGCGGAGGGTCTTGAGATCTGCCTTGAAGGAGGTAAGGGAGGGGCGAGGGGAAGAGTTGTGGATGGAGTTCCAGAGGTTGGCGGAAGAGAGGCTGAATGCCCAACCACCCATGGTGAGGTGGGTAAAGTGGTGGACGTGGAGCAGGGAGTGGGCAGATCAGTATGGCAGGTATGATGGGCAGGTCAATACCCCCCACCCCCCCCAGACAGGATCATTCACTCACACACGCGCGCTGCATTCTCTCGCTTGCTCACTCGCACGTGGCTGTTACCTTCTGGTGTTTGACAGTCAGACGCAGGCCTTTGCTAAAGGCCTCCCCCTCGGCGAGGACCCACTGCACAGGCTGAGGAACAGGGTCCTCGGGCTCCAGGAAGGAGGCGATCAGCTGATCTGTGCTGATCTGCAGCAGCTTGTCCCCCAGGCCTGGGTTAGCAATCACCACACACTGCTCCCTGCAACACACACACACACACACACAGTTACCTACACACACACTACAACAGGGTCAGCTTAATAATAATAATAATCCTTGCATTTGATATAACGTCTTATCATGGTCTTCGGGACGTTTCAAAGAGCTTCAAAGAATGGACGGTAAAGTGAATTGATTGCATTTTGTGGGCAAAACGCGGCAGCCAATTGGGCACAGCAGCGTCCCACAAACAGTCAGAGGAGAGCTCTGTGTGTGTGTGTGTGTGTGTGTGCCCGGGCTTGTACAACGTGTGTGTGAGACTGGGGTACAGTTTGTGACAGGGGTGCAGTGTGTGACTGGGGCACAGTGGGACTGGGGTACAGTGTGTGACTGACTGGGGGCTCCTAGGTACTGGTGCGGGTGTCACTCACACAGTCAGGGCCACCAGGCAGAGGGTGGGGTTGGGATTCCAGGTGATGCTCTTCACAGCTCCCTCCACCTCGAGGGTCTTCATGCAGCGAGCGGTCGAGACCTCCCAGAAGCGGACGGTGCAGTCATCCGAGCCTGAAAACCACAGTGTTCAACAGCCAGTGACACATCCCCCGCCCTCCCCACTCGAACCTCCGGGCTGGAACTACAGCACAGACATGGGGGCGTCCTGCAGTCACAGGAGCAGTTACACTGAGGTCTGTGACTGTTCAGGTGGATGTTAAAGATCCCGCAGCGCTTTTGGAAAAGAGAAGGGAGTTTCTCTCTCCCGGTGTCCTGGCCACCAATCCTACACAGAAATTGGTCACTCACTCCAACTGTGGGTGGGACACTCCAAAGCAAACCTTGCCAGAGAGAGCACGTTTTGGGTCAGCTGGGTGTCTTGACACACGCGAAAACCCATCACCGTGATTAAGAGTCTCCACACACCCCACCTACACGTGGAAATCCCAGAGATAAGATTGTTGGAATGGAATGTGCTCTCTCCCCCTGGAGGGATGCATCCTGCTTACCTAATTCTGGAGAGTATTAGGTGCAAGTTGGCAAGAACCAGGCCCAGAGTGTGTGGTGGAGTAACTGCTGGAGCCTAACCAGCTAAAAACATGTAGCTTGTCCTTGATATTGCTGTCTAGCAAACTTTCCCGCTGCTTGTCCAGCTAGGACCACCCTACCCATCAGGGCTTTGATGGATTATAACAATACAGTCATAATCCTTGCATTTGATATAGCGCCTTATCACGTCTTTGAGACGCCTCAAATCACTTCAGAGAATATATTGTAAAGTGAATTGACTGTATAGTTTGCAGGCGAAAATCGGTAGCCAATTGTGCACAGCAGTATCCCATAAACAGTCATGGATTGAGTGGCCAAATTATTATTATTTTTTGAAGGGATTATTACACCTGGAAAGTGATCTGCCAATCGACTAGCAATCGGGTTCCTACTTACTGCTAGGTAAATAGAGGCATGTGGAGTAAGAAAACTTGCCCAACGTTTCACCCTGCCCGGGAATCGAACCAGGGGCCCTCGCTTGCGAGTTGAGTGCTCTATCCACTACACTACAGGACTCCACAGTTAACACACACACACAGAAACTGAGTGGGAAGAAACCTGGAGTCAGAGAGAGATAGAGAGATAGAGAAAGAGAGTGTATGAGTGAGCTCCCTGTACATACCAGATGCCAGCCATTGGCCACTGGGAGAGACGCTGATACACCGGACCAGGTTGGTGTGGCCGGAGAACACCTGCAAACACAACACAGTGGAGGAGCTGTGACAGTGATCTGTGTGTATGTGAGCTGTGTGTGTGTGTGTGAACTGTGTGTGTGTATATGTGTATGAATGAGCTGTGTGTGGTTCCGTGAGCGAGTTGTGTGTGTCTATATGTGTGTGCGTGAGCTGTGTGTGTGAGCTGTGTGTGTGAGCTATGCATGTGTTTGTGAGCTGTGTGTGTGTGTGTGCAGATCCCTGACTGTCCAGTCCCTTGGGACGTCCTCCTGACAGGAAAGGCACTATACAAATATAATTTGTTGTTGTTGTTACTATTGTGAGCTGTGTGTGTGTGTATATATGAATACGCGCGCGTATATGCATGTGTGTGTGAGCTGTGTGTTTGTGTGTCTACTGGGCTATGTGTGTGCGTGTGTGTGTATGTAGCGATTGTGAGTTACCTACCAGAGACTGCGTGGTTGGGAACGGCTGGAGATCCCGGGGTTTGGGAAGTTTCGGGATCAAATCCTCGGGATCCACATTGACCTGAGAGGAAATGGCAGTGGGGTCAGTCACTAGCCCACACTGTGTCAGTCTCTAGCCCACACTGTGTCAGTCACTAGCCCACACTGTGTCAGCCTCTAGCCCACACTGTGTCAGTCTCTAGCCCACACTGTGTCAGTCTCTAGCCCACACTGTGTCAGTCACTAGCCCACACTGTGTCAGTCTCTAGCCCACACTGTGTCAGTCTCTAGCCCACACTGTGTCAGTCACTAGCCCACACTGTGTCAGTCACTAGCCCACACTGTGTCAGTCACTAGCCCACACTGTAAACGGCAGTCACTGGCCTGCTTACCCGCATCTTCCTCTGCCGGGGACACAGGTACAGGTCGAGGCAGCGCTCGAATCTCTCGTGGATGAAGCGGGAGTAGGCAGGGACGGCACGGAGACAGTGGAAGGCCTGTGGGAGGAAGTTCAGCTTTCGTTCCTCCGGCTCCTGTTGTTCCCAGGCCAGCTTCTGCACAGAGAGAGGACGGGAGGCTCAGAGGTGGGTCAGGGGCATCCAGGTCTCCAGCGGCGGGGCCAGCGAGGGGTGGGCGGGGCCAATAGCAGGCAGGGCGGGGCCAGTGGGGGATGGGCGGGGCCAATAGCAGACAGGGTGGGGCTAGCAAGGGGTGGGCATGGCCAATAGCAGACATGGGCGGGGCCAGTAGTAGAGAGGGGTAGCAGAGAGGGGCGTGGCCAGTAGCAGATAGGGCATGGCCAGTAGCAGAGAGGGGCGTGGTCAGTAGCAAAGAGGGTGTGGCCAGAAGCAGAGAGGGGCGGGGCCAGAAGCAGTGAAGGGTTGGGCCAGCATCATTGATGGGGGGCACAGCCAGCGTGGACAGGACCAGCGAAGGGCAGGGCCAGTGACAGGGCAAGGGGCAGGGCCAGTGACAGGGCAAGGGGCAGGGCCAGTGAGAGGGCAAGGGCGGGATCAGTGAGGGGGCAAGGGGCAGGGCCAGTGAGAGGGCAAGGGGCAGGGCCAGTGACAGGGCAGGGGGCAGGGCCAGTGAGGGGGCAAGGGCGGGATCAGTGAGGGGGCAAGGGCAGGGCCAAGTGGGGCAGGAAGGGGCGAGTCAGCAGCAGTGAGGTATGGGGTCAGCAGCAGGGAGAGGCGCAGTCAGCGAGGGGTAAGGGGCCGGGCCAGGGAGGGCGTGGTCAGCTGGAGGCAGGGCCAACTAGGGGCGGAATCAGCGAGGGCAGGAGGAGGGTCAGTGAGGGGTTGGGGCCAGCGAGGGGTTGAGGCTCCTGACCTCCTCGTCCGTCAGCAGGTACTCTGGCGGGGGATTGTAGGACTCCTCGTGCCCGGGCAGCTTGAGCTTGGGGGCTGGGACGTGCATCTTGTGTCGCCCCAGGATGGCGTTGGGGTCCTCCTTGGCCCACAGGTCATAGTACTGGGGCCTGGTATCCCGGGGCCGGTGAGGCTTGATCCAGCCCATCTTTATAGCGTGGACCAGTTTGGAGACCTACAGGAGGAGGAGGTAAAAAGAGGTGAGAGGCCCTGAATGAACAGCACGGAGACACACTGATGTGTGGGGACAATTTAGGACGTCACCAAAATAACGCATGGGAGAGGTCAAAATAATTTTTCTTTACACAGACGGTAGAGCATGGTGGGCCTGACCGATAATACTGGCTGAAGGCAGTATCTGTAACAGTTTGTAAAAGGAATTAGACAAGTATTTTAAACGGAAGAACATAAAAGTGTGTGTGGTGGTGGGGGGGGGGTGTGATGGGGGGGAATGTGTGTTTGAGCATGTGGGGGAGAGGAGACGAGAATGTGAGTGTGTGTGTGTGTGTGCGTGTGTGTGTGGTGGGGCGGGGGGTGCACCGAGTGTGCGTGAGGGGTTCAATGAGAGCTCTTCCAGAGTGCTGACACAGGTGCATAACATAACATGTAGGAGCAGGAGTAGGCCATTCGGCCCTTCGAGCCTGCCCCGCTATTCAATCATGGCTGATCTTCTAATCTAACTCCAGCTAATAACCTGGTCCTGCCTTATCCCCATATCCCTTAATCCCTTTTGCAATAAGAAATCTATCTATCTCAGTCTTGAATATGTTCAAGGACTGAGCGTCAACAGCCCTTTGGGGTAGCGAGTTCCTTTGAGTGAAGAAGTTCTTCCTCAACTCAGTGCAAAAGGACTGACCTCTGATTTTAAGGTTGTGGTCCCTGGTTTTAGTTTCTCCAACCAGGGAAACAATCTCCCACTATCTACTCTGTCATGCCTTTTGATGATCGTACAGGTTTCTATAAGATCCCCTCTAATTCTTCTATATTCTAGAGAATATAGGCCCAAATTGGTCAGCCTATCCTCGTAACTCATCCCCTTCATCGCTGGTACTAGCCTCCAAGGCAAGTACATCCTTCCTTAAATAAGGAGACCAAAGTCACAGTCCAGGCTGATATTGAAAGGATCTTCAGATGAGATGTTAAACGGAGGTCCCGTCTGTATCTGTTCAGGTGGACATCAAAGATCCAGCGGGGCTATTGGAAAAGAGAAGGGAGCATCTCTCTCCTGGTGTTCTGGCCGACAATCCTCCAGATAGATTTGGTCACTCTCTTTCATGGGTGTTTGTGGTTCACTGCTGTGTGCAAAACACTGACTACAGTCTGGCTTAGGCCCTCTCCCCCCACCCACCCCCACTCTCACCTTTTCCTTCTCAATGAGGGATGGGATGAAGCTGCGTTTGTGAGCTGGTTGGTTGGTCACAGGGTGGATCATCGTCTCATGAGTAAAGAAATCGACAGAAGGCTTAAACACAGAGAGAGATATAGAAAGAGAGAGAGAGATTTAGTACGATCAGATTCACTCCAATTTTCTTTGCTGCTTTGCTCAGGCTTTGGGCAGCACAGCCCGCAGGCTGAGCACTGGGCAGAAGAACGGGCTCAACAACACCAACCCCTCTCTGCAAATGTCAACAACAACAATGCATTACATTTATACAGCGCATTTCACGTTGGATGTCCGGAGGACGTCCCAAGGACAGTCAGAGATTTGTACCCGAGCTGGTTGTTAATAATAATAATAATAATAATAATAATAATCCTTGCATTTGATATAGCGCGTTTCACGTTGGGAGGACGTCCAAAAGCACTTCACAGAACACACTGTAAAGTGAATTGACTGCATACTTGTGGGCGAAACACGGCAGCCAATTGCGCACAGCAATGTCCCACACAGTCGTGGGTTGGGGTGAACAAATTATTATTGTTTTTTTTCTTGAGGGATTATTATCAGGCGTGCGGAGTAACGAAACTTGCCCAAGGTTTCGCCCTGCTGGGAATCGAACCCAGGTCTCTCGCTTGCGAGGCGAGTGCTCTAACCACTGAGCAACAAGACTCCACAAGTTCAGATGCTCCAAAGCAATGCTCCAGGTGTCATCCTTCAGGTGAGACAGTTTAAAAAAAACAAGGTCCTGTTTCCCCATCCGGGTGGATGTCAAAGATCGGAGTCCTGTAGCTCAGTGGTTAGAGCACTCGCCTCTAACCAAGTGAGAGGACCTGGTTTCAATTCGCAGGTAGGGGGAAATGTTGGGCAAGTTTCCTTACTCCACACGCCTGTGTTTACCTAGCAGTAAGTAGGAACCCAGTAGCTAATCAATTGGTGGATCGCTTTCTGGGGGTGATGATCCCTCCAAAAAAATAATAATATAAAAACGTTTGGTTACTTAATCCACGGCTGTTTGTGGGACACTGCTGCGCACAATTGGCTGCTGCGTTTAAGCCACAAAATCTACAGTCAATTCACTTTACAGTATACAATACAAATTAGATTTGTACAGCGCCTTTCACGTCGGGAGGACGTCCCAAGTATATTCTGTGAAGTACTTTGAGACGTCCCGAAGACGTGATAAGGCGCTATGTCAAATGCAAAGATTATTATTATTCAATTGACGCTATTGGAAAGAGCAAGGGGTTTCTCCCGCTCTTGTGGCCAACAATTCCCTATTAAAACCTGTTCAATTTTGGGTCTGTTTATGGGATTTTGCTCCATGTAAATTGGCTGCCGGGCTCACCTATATCAATACGCAGCGACTGCACCCTACAGTACATCCTGTGAAGTGCTTTCAGACGTCCTCCCAAATGTGAAAGACGCTGTCAAATATCCAATATAAGGCAAGAGAGAAAAAGGGCCTTAAGATGAGGAAAACTAGCAGCGGTGGGAGGCCACGTTTACAGGCAGCCCCAGAGGAACAGGAGTAAAATCACGTCTGCTCACAGGAATCCAGGCTGAATTCTTTTGGTGAAAGTTCTGAACGTCAGCCCAATCCAGCAGATTGTTGATATCACAGAAAAGGCTGTTGAGTGAAAACTTTCCAGAGGGATTCCTCAGGTTTGGAATGTGGCAGACGATCGTCGGGATAGCCCGGGAAGACCCGTGCTGTTGTCAACTTTACCAAGTGTGAACCACAATCCCAACCCACCCCCCCCCACCCACCCAAAGTTTACATTGGCTGCTCCCTTGCCTCAGCGAGCTTGTTTCATGTCCCCCACCCACCTCTTCAGCCCTCTCCACTTTTACAGCCCAGGTTCACGGCAGCCTGGTTTCAGCTCGACCTGTCAGACCCCGCTTGGCTATCGCACACTCCACTCCGAGACCAGTCACTGGGGGCAGGGAATCCTCCCACTCAGCCCCTGTTAACCCTGCAAGCCACAGTCCTAACGGTTGGGTGGCTCTAGTTGGACAAGCAGCAGGAAAGCTTACCAAACAATGCTCTTAATGGCAAACTACCGCAGATACCCCAACACACACTCTGTGCCCCCAAGCCTTGGCTCTTACCAACCTGCACCTAGTACTTTCCTGAATTAGGTAAGCAGGATGCATCCCTCCAGGGAGAGAGTGTGCATTCCATTCCAATAATCTCCCTCTTGGAGCCTTAGGCATGGTGATGGGTTTCTGCATATGTCAAGACATCCGGTAGAGCAAAAAAAAAGCTGCTGGAGCAGGCATACCTGGAGGGTGAGGTGCTATACTGGAGGGTGAGGTGCTTCAGTGAAGGGTGAGGTGCTATAGCGGAGGGTGAGGTACACTTGCATTGCTGACTGGCTGGCTCCGTGTGTAGACCGTTAAGGCCTGGCTTTTAAGGCCAGCGTCACCATTGTATCGAGGGCCGTACGTCAGCCTGGCTCAGCCTCTGGGTCAGGAGGTTTGGGCTCACACCACATGATGAGGCTTTGAGCTCACAGTCCAGGCTGACACTCAGCGCAATCCTCGAGTGGGACGAGAGTACATGAAGTCCTTTTTACAAAACAGAGATACGAGACTACGGAGGAGCTGGAACAAGCCGCCAGAGATGCATTTCACCTCCTCGCTGACTCCATCCATGTTACGGAAGACGTGACACTGAACATGGCGAGGGATCATTATCCGCCTTGAAGATGATGGCACTCACTCACTCACACACACCCCCACCCCCGAATCCTCTGGACGTCTAAATACAGTTAAACATTTGTACTGAATACAATTAAGTACTTCTAAATACAATCATCACCATCCTTTCACATGTTACAATTGTTGGTCATTGCATTCCAGAGAGAGAGAGAGGAATGGGGCAAGATGCTGCGTGTATTGCCCTGCTCTGTGCTGTGAGGGCAGACAGTACCTGGTGAGGATCGAAGGTCGAGTCTCCGAACTGGCCCCTCTGGATGCGGTGAATGAGGTCGATCTGCTGGTCGCTCAGACGGATCTCGGTGCCCGTCATCTTATCAGGAACCGTGCGCCTGTGGAGACATCAGAGCCGTGATGGGGACAGTCCGTGAGGACAGGGGTGAGAGCCCTAACCCGCCACTGAAACTCCTCCTGTGAGAGGAGGAGAGAGAGAAGGAGAGACGGGGAGTGGGGAGAACCCAGGCACACAACAACAACAAATTTCATTTATACAGCGCCATTCCCAGGAGCACACACCAATAGTCTGGGTTTTCCATCTTATCCAGAAATTCATCCAGCTCATCCTTGTTTCGGATTGGTTTGTAGATTTTCTTCCCATCCAGGTCATAGCCGATGTGTGGATAGTCCTTGTACCATTCCATAGGGATGTTCCCCACAGTGTTCCGAATATCCTGAAAAACAGGGAAGACCAAAGCATTACCATCCAAGTACCACCGCACAACTAAACTGGGCACCTTAACTAGCACTAACCAAAGAACTTTAACTCGCACTAAACCTTACTAAAGACCTTCATTCACACTAAATCAAATTAGGTAAAGCACTTTACCTAACACTCTAAATAAATAAATGATAATCCTTACATTTTTTCTTATCATTTGTAAAAAAGAATAATTTTTTTTGGAAGGGATTATTACCCCCTGAAAAGCGATCTGCCAATCGACTAACAAGAAGGTTCCTACTTCCTGATAGGTATGGAGTAAGGAAACTTGCCCAACGTTTCTAACCCAGGTCCTCTCGTTTGAGGGGCTCTAACCACTAAGTTATAGGACTTGTAGATTTGTCTACAAAACCAGTCCCTCTTGACAGTGTTTCTCTGACAGTCTGAAATATGCCAATGCCCTGCATGGATAAAGTTCCTTTCCCCCAGAGCAGCAACAAAATAATTAGTGAGAGTCGAGATCTCCCAAGGGCGCTGGGAAGCTGTTCCCCCTTGTCTGATCTCAGCAGCACACGTTCCATCTCGTTCCCTGGCCCAGCCGCCGAGCCAGCTAGCGAACGGGCAGGCTGTCTCTCTGTCTGTCTGTCCCTGGGATCTATTCTTTATAATAAAAACAACCCCACAGTCTGCCTGATTACCTCATGTGTGTGAAATGTGATGGTGAAGGTTATGTAAGTTTATCCTCCTCTGGATGCTGGCTCATCCCAAGCCAGGCACCCTGGGGGCAAGCTCTGGCCCCTCTCCCACACCCTCTCTCTCCCCCTGCCCTGAGGCGTGTCCGATTGGGGACATGGAGTACACATTACCTACGCCGATTAGGTTCCCTCCACCACCCAGGAGGCCGGTCTGATGCAGCTCTGAGCAGTACATCCTCACACCATTAAGCATAAAGAGATGGGAATGGATTGGTCACACGGGCAGACAAGCCTTTATTACAGACAAAGGCCAAAGTGTGTGTGTGACTCTGTGTCTGTGGGTATCTGAGTGAACTTATTAAATAAATGACTCCTTTGCATTTGATATACCATCTGTAACGTCCCTGCTTCTCAAACCGCATCACAGGGACTTATTGTCAACAATAACGGCTTGCACTTAGATCGTCAGCAACATCATTTTGAATTTATATAGTGCCTTTCACTTGCGGGTAGCATCTCGGAGTGCTTAACAACTGTTTCGACACTGAACTAACTGGGGAGAGGAGAGAGGTGACCATAGGCACGGTTTAATGTCTTATCTGAAGATAGCATCCTCCCTCCCAGCACTACATATAGCATTGATCCACATACAACAGTAATCCAGATTTTTGAAGGAATTATTACCCCCAGAAAAGTGATTCGTCAATTGATTAACCACAGGGTTCCTACTTACTGCCGGGTGAACAGAGGCGAGTGGAGTAAGGAAACTTGCCCAATGTTTCTCCGTGCCTCGCTTGAGAGGCTGGTGCTCTAACCACTAAGCTACAGGACTCAACCTGAGACAGCCTGAAAACCACAAGAGACCCTATTAATCCAATTTAAACACCCACTCTGTCCAACCACTAATCCTCAAAAGGAAACCACCCGGTAAGTATCATCCCCTGCTTATCTCCAGATCATCAAACCAAAGCTCACTGAAACCCTGACTTACTCTTTGACCGTGTCTTTCATCAACACCCTCAAACTCCGCTCGTCTCCGCCCTGCTGTGTCAGCGTCTTAGTGAAATGCTTTGAGATTTTTTTTCCGGGGGCGGGGGAAGGAGGGGATTGGAGGATGTAAGCGGGATCTTCTTGGAGCTCATTTGGCTCCGAGGTGACGTGCCTGGCAATAGAATGTCGGAATCGAGCCGGCCCTCTGTGACGGTCTCTAGTCCGGTTCCTGAGCCAGGCGGGTCCGCAGTATTCCAGGGCACCGCTGATGACAGCACAGCCCGGCCCTGGCTCAACATCAGGACTTGTAAGAGCAGACCAGTCGCTGAGGGCAGGGAAGCCTCCCACTCAGCTCTTGTTAACCCTGCAAGCCAAAGCCCTGGCAGGTAGGGTTAGGGCTTTTGCTGTTGGAAGCTTGCCAGGCACTGCTTTAGTGCTTTCAATTTGTGGAGTCCTGTAGCTCAGTGGTTAGAGCACTCGCCTCTCAAGCGAGAGACCTGGGTTCGATTCCAGGCAGGGTGAAACCTTGGGCAAGTTTCCTTACTCCACATCAAGAAAAAACCAATAATAAATTGGTCACTTCAATCCACGCCTGTTTGTGCGACACTGCTGTGCTCAATTGGCTGCCGCGTTTCACCCACAAATATACAGTCAATTCACTTTATAGTATATTCTGTGAAGCACTTTGAGACATCTAGAAGACGTGAAAAGAGCTACGTCAAATGCAAGGATTATTATTATTATTATTATTATTATTCAATGGCATGCTATGCTGATTAAATTCCAGCAGTTACCTCAACACACGCTCTGGGCTTCCCAAGCCTTGGCTCTTGCCAACCTGTGCTTAATACTCTCTGGAATTTGGTAGGCCTCTTGAGAGTATGCATTCCATTCCACGTGCAGGAATTTCCATGGGTAGATGACAAACTCTCAGGCAGACATGACAGACCACAAAAACCCTTGTCTCACTTGACAGCACTCGCACCTCTGAGTCAGAAGGTTGCGGGTTAAGCATCATGCTGGAACTTTAAACTCATATTGGTTTGGCTGCCTCTCCAGTGCAGTGCTGGGAGAGCACTGAATTGCTGGAGACGCTCGCCATCAAACTGATGCACTGTCTGGCTGCAGGTTCAGGTAGATGTTAAAAGATACCAGTTGAAAGCGAAGGGAGTTTCTCCCTGTGTCCTGGCCAACAACATCTTAGCTAAAATTGTCTATCGCCTTCATGGCTGTTTCATATCGGGGGGCACTGCTGTGCGCAATTGTGCTGCCGTCTTTGCCTACATATCCACATTCGCTCCATTTCACAGTGATTCCCGTGAAAGCACTTTGAGAGACATCCTTCCGACTTGGTAAGGCGGCGTACCAAACGCAAGGATTATTATTATCAGATGCAAGGATTTTATTTTTTTATTATTATTATTCATCCTGTGAGACGAGCTCTGTATAAGTGCGAGTTGGTGTGAAGAGCTTGGGAGGACCCGGGAGGGACACACCGGGCTTCAGCACTCCCTCACCAGGGAGAGCTGGCCGCAAGTTCGGGGTAACAGGGCGTGAGCCTCACTCGCTAGCATTACTGCACCTCACATCACAGGTTGAGACGCTGAATGCTCCGTGGAGCTGCCACCCTAGGCCTGTGGGGGGGGAAGCAGATATTGTATGTGTGAAAGTGTGTCGGGTCTGACAGGCCTGGCTGAGTGTAAGTGATCGCCTCCGCACTAATGTGAAATTTCCTGTACGGTGGCTCAGGCTTCTGAGAAACATTATCAGCCATCGCAATCCACCAAATGCGCCGTGAAATGTACCTCACATTCCTCCTCTCCGAGAGGGAAAGGGAGGGAACGAGAGAGTGTATATCAGAGCGTGTGTGTGAGAGAGAGAGAGAAAGAGTATGTGAGATAGAGAGAGAGACTGCGACAGACAGACACGTTTAAACACACACAAGAGAGGGGGAGATTTACAGACAGACATATACACAGTATGAGTGGGAGGGAGAGATAGAGTCACACATAGCGAAAGAGAGACGGAGAGTGAGAGAGACACATGCAGGCGTTCCCCAGGCCGCCTCACACACAAGGATTTACTTAATGCTGGAGGTAGGAGCCAGGAGCATGTGAAATAAGTTGGACGTTTCCCAGCCAAGCACTCAAATGAGCAGCATCGCCTCGGGAGCACCTTCACCGCCAGTCAGGTTACATCACACAACAGGAGGCAGAGGCAGGCAGTCTCTCTCCTTCCCTCTCCTTCCCTCCCCTTCTCTCTCTCTCTCTCTCTCTCCCTCTCTCATTGCTAGAGATCCTGACACCATCCAGCATGTGGACAGACCTGAGGTGCCAGGACACAGTAACCTGCCTTTACACCACATCACTCAGCCACCGCTGATCCCCGCTGTCCGGTCAGAATACAACAGCGTGCGAATCAGAAGCCTTGCGGTCACCAATACATTCCTGAAGCAGTCAGAGACGCCCGTCTCCCCATTCCTAAGGTTTAACAGCTCACAGTCCAGGCTGACAATCCAGCAGTCTGACAGCTTGGCTCAGCCACTCGCACTCTCGCCTCCAAGTCATAAGGTTGTGGCTCCAAGCCTTACGTTGAAGGTTTATAAGCTCACAGAATAGGAAAACACTGCAGTGTTATACTGGGGGGGGGGGGGGGGGGGGGGCGGGAATCTGATTGTTAAGGTGCTATGCGCACCTCCGAGAGCACACCCCACCACCGCCGAGCGAGCACAGAATAGAGAGAAAATGTCTCCTGGATCTAAACCCGTGAGAGGAACGTGAGAGCTATTTTCTCTACAGAAAATACTACCGCTCTCCTCTCACTGTGAGGTAGGTAGTCAGGGCGGATGAGCTCTGAACCCAGCCAGTGAGCTAACATAATAATAATCCTTGCATTTGATATAGCGCCTTATCACGTCTTTGAGACATCTGAAAGCCCTTCACAGGATACACTGTAAAGTGTAGTGACTGTGTGTTTGTGGGCAAAATGCGGCAGCCAAGTGCGCACTGCGGTGTCCCACAAACAGTCGTGGATTCAGTGACCGCATTATTATTTTAAGGAATTATTACCTCCTGAAAGCAACCCGCCAATCGACTAACAAGTGGGTTCCTACTACTGCAAGGTAAACAGAGATGTGTGGAGTAAGGAAACTCTATCTCCCTCCCTCTTTCTTTCCCCCTCTCTTCCTCCCTCTATCCCTCCCTCACCCTTATCTCTCTATCTATCTCCCTCACTCATTTCCCAATTGTGACCCTTTCATGAAATCTTGAAATAGTGGGTTCAAAGCAGGTTACGGGGAAAACTCAGAATGGAATGATTTGGAGGCCATTCGTACCATCAGGAGAGTACAGCTCTCTGTCCCAACACACACGCACAAATTGTTGTTTGTGTTGTCAGATATTTGTCCAGTCTCCTTTTCAATGCTATTAGAAGTTTCGCCTACAAAATATGCAGTCAATTCACTACCAGTGCTTTGGGACGTCCTCCTGACGTGAAAGGCGCGATACAAGTGTAACTTGTTGTTGTTTGCAGTATATCCCGTGAAGCGCTTTGAGACGCCTCAAAGCCTTGATAAGGCGCTATATCAAATGCAAGGATTATTATCGTTAGAAGCTTTGATGAGTTTGAAACAGGATCATCAGCCTCCATTCCCCACCAACCCCCCCACCACCTGTGGGCTCTAGTCCCCCGGTGATCGGTCAGCAGAACTGGCACAGTGCAGGGGGAGCCCTGACAACCTGTTCCACATGCTCCCAAGTCGATTTTCTGCTCAATTTATTTGCCGACAGTGTTTTCCTAATCGTTCCCAGCCTACGTTCACCAGATGTGCAAAGACTAAGACATGGAGAGAGGGAGAGAGAGAGAGAGAGAGAGGAAGAGAGAGACAGACACAGAGAATCGCAGTTTGAGAATGAGAGCTCAACAGTGAAAGGGTTTGTGAGTGAGAGGGAAAGAGAGATTGTTGTGAAACTCGGTGAGCGCGCAAGTATAACTCAGTGAACGAAGTCATTTCCAGCTTTATGACCTCACTATAAAGATTTTGGAGAAGAGTTAATAAGAATAATCCTTGCATTTGATATAGCACCTTATCACACCGCTGAAACATCGCTCAAAGCATTTCACAGAATATAATGTAAGGTGAATTGGCTGTATATTTTGTGGGCAAAACACGGCAGCCAATTGCGCACAGCAGCGTCCCACAAACGGTCGTGGATTGAGTGATCAATTTATTTTTCGTTGGGAGGGATTATTACCCCGGAAAGCTATCCGCCAATCGACTAACAACCGGGTTCCTACTTACTGCTAGGTAAACAGAGGTGTGTGGAGTAAGGAAACTTGCCTAAGGTTTCCCCCCTACGCGCCCCCAGGAATCAAACCCGAGTCCTCACGCTTGCGAGGCGAGCGCGCTACCCACCACGCTACGGGAATGCAGATAAAGCGCAGGTGAGGAAATGATAAATTGCTTCCTCTGTATTGGGCAGTAAAAAGAGTGAATGTTGAGAGTAGGGGGTGGTGGGGTGAGGGGGGGAGGGTTTGCTTCTGCCTTAGTCGTGTATCGACAACACAGGTCAAGATTACAATATTCCCAACAGGATGGGTCGCCCACAAAACACCCAGTCACTTCACAATATATTCCGTGAAGCGCTTTGAGATGCCTCGAAGACGTGTTCAGGCGCTATATCAACTGCAAGGATTATTATTAACATGAGTATTGCTATTGTGATTATTATGATCATTATTACTATTACTATTATTATTATGCTGATTCCGATTATTAATAGATAATTCCCCTCACATGGCTCTCCTCCCGGGCAGGAATTCTTCCCCGTCACCATCTCCTTCTGGGTGGGACAGAGCACCATTCCGCACAGCCTGTTCCTTTCAGAAGCTGACACTGACAAATCCTTTGGGAATGCTTCTGACGGGCAGTGTTATGGTGAACGGGAGGGGGCAGGGGGAGGGAAACAGGTGCATGTTAGGATCGGGCACATCCCCAGGGCATATTCTTTAAAGTCAGGAAATAAGAGCCTCAGGAGATAGCCGGCAGGAGAACGGACTTCAACAGACTCGCTCACAGAGCACGGCGCTGAAGAAAGGCGCCGGTAGGCGTGGTTTAATATCGAAACTGACAGACAATCGATGTCCTGTCAGAGGTCTCCAAGGACTCACATTGGCCACTTATTGCTTCAATCATTCAGATCGTTTCAGCAGATGTGGAAATCTCCTCAATACTCAACTGGTGGAGCCTTCAACCCCCCCCCCCCCCCCACCTCACTGCCCCACTTCTCTGAGCAGCGTAACCAGACGCGGGAAAGAAATCTGGAAGTATTTGCTCCACAGGGTTATCAGAATACGGCATGGCTTGCTCAGAAGTGGCTGGTGGAGCAAAATCAATGATTGGAAGGGGGGGGGGGGGGGGAAACACGGTGAGGTACACATTTAAATGGGAGCATGTGCAGAGGAGGATTAACGGAAGCAGGGAAAGTTGTTGTTAAACTCGAGGTGTGAGTGATACAGAGGTCTTGTAAGCGTTTACTGGCTGTCTCTGGCTGTGCTGGGGAAACACTTTCCTAGTGCTGTTTTACGGGATGACGCACTGGGCCATTTCCCCACATTCTGTGGAGCTGGGCTAGTGACAAATTTCCTTTCCATGCAAATGAGTCTCTCTAGTGCCAGACCCTATTACTGTCGGTTTAAAGTCAAACGACACAACAACTACAAAACCTTCCATTTCTATAGTGCCCCTCACACAGGGTACGGTCTCAGAGCCTGACACTGAGCCGCTGGGAGGAGGGAGGTTGAAGGGGAAGGTCATCAGACGCGACCTGAAGATGGGGAAGGAGGGGGCAAGGGGGCGAGATTGGGGGAGAGTGTTCCAGAGTTTCGGGGCTTAGTAGCTCAAAAGTGCGGCCACCAATAGTGGAACGGAAGGCACGAGGGACGAGCAGGAGGCCGGAGCCAGTTGAACGGAGGTAGTGGGTCGGGGAGTAAGCAGGTCGGAGAGGTAGGGAGGTGCCAGGGTATGAAGGGATTTGAAGATGAGTGTGTGGATTTTGAAATCGATCTGTTCAGTGATAGGGAGCCAGTGGAGCCTGGCTAAAACTGGCGTGATGGGGCTACAGAGTTTAGTACGGGTGAGTATGCCCACCCACCCCTCCACCCTGCCCCCCCAGGCTCATGGCACAGAAGAGCAGCCATATTAAAGTCCCCAAAATCCTCAACCAAGTTATGAAAACCGTGCTTGTAACCAACGCAAACTTTAACAGCAATTCAACATCAGTCTGTGTGTGTGTGTGTGTATGTAGAGGGGAGTTTTTTCCAAGAGATAAATAATCCTTGCATTTGGTATAGCGCTTTTCACGTCTTCTAGACATCTCAAAGCGCTTCACAGAATATACTGTAAAGTGAATTGACTGTAAATTTATGGACGAAACGCAGCAACTAATTGCGCACAGCAGCGTCCCACAAACCGTCGTGAATTGAGTGACCAAATTATTTGGAAACTTGGAAAATGAAAGAAACTTGCCCAAGGTTTCACCCTGCCGGGAATCGAACCCACTGGGAATGGGACTGAAAGAATGAAGGAAGAAGTGGGATGTTCAATAGCGCCGCATACCCGTCCTCACAGCTACAGCTAATGGATTGGACATGCTCCCCCAGGCTGAGGGCAGAAAAGGGTTAAAGCCTCGTTTCACACACAGATCTGTCAGCCTGACGGTGACGCCCTCAAACTGTTTCCCCCGCCCACTCTGTATAAAAACCTGATTTCAGCAAACATCTGAACCATTTGGTGACAGAGAGAGAGAGAGAGACAGTGAGAGAGACACACAGTGTGAGAGCGAGAGAGAGATAGAGTGTGTGCGTGTGTGAGAGAGAGAGACAGACAATGTGAGCGAAGGTGTGAGATAGACAGCTAGGTAAAAAGAAAAACACACACGCGCGCAGCAAGAGAGATAAGCAGACAGACAGTGAGCGAGTGAGAGAAAACCGGTGAGAGTGCACGAGAGAAAAAATAAAGAGAAAAAGAGGTACAGAAAAAAAGACGAGAGCGAGGAAGGCTAAAAAGGTAGGAAGAAAAAGAGTGAAAAGAGAAATTGAAGAGAGGGAAAGTTGGGGCTAAGGAGAGAGAGCGAGAGAGAGAGAGAGAGAGAGAGAGGCTGAGAGTAACCTGGTTACGCATCATTGAACCGACTGAGTCTTCTGGGTATTAAGGAAGGAAGAGAAGGGGAGGAAGGAGGGAAGGAAGGAAGGGGAGAAAGAAGAGGAAGGAAGGAAGGAAGGAAGGAAGGAAGTGTGTGTGAATTGCCTGTCCCTGATGCACACATGTCTTTTGCGCTGCTGAGACCGGTAGCTGGCCGTTGCCTGTACCCGGAGATCAGCATGCTGTCTGAAGGCGATGAGGAGAACGACAGCGAGAGCTCTGGCTCCGAGCGCTCCTTCGGCCTGAGCGCGTACGGCGAGGGTGAGGGCAAGAGGAAGAGGAAGGTGCGGGTGGGTGGGGTGGTGCGGCAGAGGCAAGCGGCCAACGCCAGGGAGCGTGACCGCACCAACAGCGTCAACACGGCCTTCACCGCCCTCAGGACTCTGATACCCACCGAGCCGGCAGACCGCAAACTCTCCAAAATCGAGACCCTGCGGCTGGCCTCCAGCTACATCTCCCACCTGGGCAACGTGCTGCTGCTCGGGGAGGCCGGGGACGGACAGCCCTGTCACACCAGCGCCTCCACCTACTACCCCAACACCAGGAGCTCCGAGCCCGACAGCAATCAGCCCAGGCAGATCTGCACATTCTGTCTGAGCAACCAGAGGAGGCTGGTGAGTACACAGTCTGTAACACGTGCGCAAGCGCTCAGCCTCTCGCCCCCACTGTCCACCATTCCCCCTACGCTGTCCGCCATCCACTCCAGTGCGGTGCGGTGCAGGAGGGTGTGCTGCATTGTCAGAGGTTCGTCCCACAGATAAGACGTGAAACCGAGGTCTCGTTTGTGCCTGTTCAGATAGACTGTTACTGGGAAAAGGAAAGAGAGTTTCGCCGGGTAAATGTGAGGGAATAGTCAGTCTGGTACCATTATACCACACACACCCTCTCTCTCTCCCTCATAAACACACACACACACACACACACACACAGTTTACCCCGGCAGACAACCCTCCAGCTTAATCACTCATTCACCTCATTACTGTGTGTAAATTTAGTTGCACGCAAATAACAGTCACAACAATCGCCTGTGAAGAGTTCCGGGTGATGTTACAGGCATTGAATCGGATGCAAGGAATCTTATTGTGACGGGGTGTACGAATGACGTTTATGATCCGGGGCTGAGAATTCCCAATCAGTGTCTCTGCTGAGCAGAAAGCGGGGGGACTCGCTCAGACACAAACCAGCACCAGGAAGCCAGGAAAACCCCATGTGAAAATCCCATTGTGTAATAATTTTATGCATTCTGTGGAGTCCTGTAGTTTAGTGGTTAGAGCACTCGCCTCGCAAGCGAGAGGACCTTGGTTCGATTCCCGGGCAGTGCGAAACGTTGAGCAACTTTCCTTACTCCACACGCCTCTGTTTAACTAGCAGTAAGTCGGGACCCAGTTATTAGTCGGGACCCAGTTATTAGTCGATTGGCAGATCACTTTTCTCAGGGTAATCATCCCTAAATAATAAGTATTTCTATCTTGCCTGGAACATAATAATAATAATCCTTGCATTTGATTCAGCGCCTTTTCAAGTCTTCGAGACGTCTCAAAGCGCTTCGCAGAATATATTGTAAAGTGAATCGACTGTATACTTTGTGGGCGAAAATATATTTTAAAGTGCTTCCCAGCAAACTGCCATCATGTGTAATGATTGCGTGACTATAGGAAAACACAAGTCAGTGAAACAATTGATTAATCTGGAGAGTCGACAGCCAGGAAACCGGGAGAGAGAAACTCCCTTCTCTTTCCCAATAGCGTCACAGGATCTTTAACATCCACCTGAACGGACAGGAACTCATTTTAACATCTCATCCAAAGGACGGCACTGGGCTAACAATAGAGCATCAGCTTGAACTGTGTGCTCAAAGTCCTAACATTGGGCTGGAGCTCACATGAAAGAACATTTGATGGAATGAGTACAGTGAGAGCAGCTCTACAGTGCTGCTATTGCAGTGAATTGAGAAAAGTCAGTCCCCATCGCTTCTCTGGTTCCGGTATCTCACGCACACACACAAATACACCCACACGTGCACACACGCGCAAACCAGAGGCTCCAACAGACCTCACCAGCTCAGTCAACACCATTTAAAATTTAAGATAAAAATAGTTGCATTTGGTATAGCAGAAGCACGTAACAAAAGTGCTTCACACGATTTTTTTGAAGTCATCTGAAGTGCAGTGACTGAAGTGGCAGCAATGTCTTACAATCAGCCATGGAGTGAATGACTGATTTTATCTGGGAGTCTGTCGGCCAGGAAACTGGGAGAGAGAAACTCCCTTCTGTTTTCAAACAGTGCCGACAAGAGCTTTAAAGTCCACCTGGACACCTCATTGAAAGACCTCCAATAATACACTGGAGGATCAGCCGAGATTGAACTCAAAGTCCTGACGTGGGGCTTGAACCCACAAGGCGAGAGTGCTACCAACTGAGCCAGACTGACACAGACCGCAACAGAATCAATTGGATGTTTAAAAGGGAGATGGTCAGATACATACAAAGCAGGGGGTATTAAGCGGAGTGGGGAAGGTTTAAAGCAGAGAAAGTGGGATTAAAGATCTGAAATGATAAACTGGCGGAACAGGCTTGCTGTTCACCTGAATAGCCTCCTCCTGTTCCAATGACCTGATTATATTTCAAAGGAATAAACCATAAGTCAGATCAACCTGCAGCGAGAAATTACTGACCGCTAGCTACACTCATGGCGCGACTAACGTTTAAACAAGAATCTTTCCAATAATTCATTCAACCGGCAATGCCAGGCTTTCACATTCCATGGCACAGGGGTCCAGTGTAAAATCACCCAACTGAACCAGCAAGGTCCCAGCTTCCATCACAGTCCATATGACAGTTAGCTGCTCTCAGTCACGCTCGTGTTACGGTTAGCGCCACAGTTAGCTTCAGTATCTTGTGCTACAGAATGAAAACTCGGCTCAGTCCAATTTAAAGAGTCAGGGCTGACACTCCAGTGCAACGCTGCATTGTGAGAGGTGCAGTTGTACGGATGAGACGTTAAACCGAGGTCCCGTCTGCCTGTTCAGGTGGATGTGAAATATCCCATGGAATTATCCAAAAAGAGAAGGGAATTTCTCCCAGTTTCCTGGCCAGCAATTGCCCAGATATGACATTCGCTTCCAGATCATTTGAATTCATGTGCAAATTGGCGGCCACTTCTGGCTATAAATATGCAGTCACTACACATTACAAGAAAAACTGTGAAGCACTTTGAGGTGATATCAAATTGCCGTAACAAATGCAAGAATTATTACTATGTAATCTCAATAGTGTAGGTAACTTTATGCTGCATGGAACAAAGCAGGAGCTTCACTGTAGTACTTAAGTGTATAGTTGCCATTAATCTCAGCACGTAAATGTAAATTGTTGTTATAAACTTCCCGCTCATTCCGTGGCCAAGGCACACTTCAAAGACCACCAAGATTCATCTTACTTAAGACAATTGGCGGACTGCATTCCAGGGGTTAATAATCCCTCAAAACTATATAAAAAAAATAACAATTTGGTCACTCAATCCAGTGGGACACTGTTGTGTGTGATTGGCTACCGCGTTTCGCCCACAAAATGCAGTCAATTAAGTTTACAGTATATTCTGTGAAGCACTTTGAGACGTCTCAATGACGTAATAAGGCGCGAGACAAAATGCAAGGATTTTATTATTACTAAACTTATCGATGGAAGCTCGAGACAGGGGCAAACCATTCACCTTTTATCTGGGCTGGTGTTTGCTCCCCATTGGCGCTCTCTATTTTAATCCCATACCCTGCTCTTTCCCCACCGTATCTGCGCTGGGGCTCTCTGCTCCAATTCCATTCCAAGAGTAAATTTTCACTTCAAGTCCAAGCCAATCTAAACAGACATGGGATTCCATATTGAATACAAGTTGATTACGTAGCTGCAGATTATCCCAGTTTTTCATTTGATTGTTAATTGAGATCTTGCCTGCGTTATGATTCAGGTGAATCCTATTTCAAAACGTGGCATCTTCCTCCTGTTATCCTGATTTATATACTGTCTATTCAAATTCACACCCTTCATATCCCAACATGTCTAATAGAACCATAGACATTTGTCGGTTAGAGGAAGGCGATTTGGCCCATTTGTGTCTGTGCTGTCTGATTTGAGAGCAAATCCTTTCAGTCCTATTTACCTGGCCTTTCCCAAAACCCATATAATGGGTTGCTCATCTCATTGTTGTACATAGGATGTTGCTGCCGACTTTATCCCCATAACATTCTGGGGATGACAATCTCTTCAAAAACAAATAATAATAATAATAATTTGATTACTCAACCCACGACTGTTTGTGGGACGCCGCTGTGTGCAATTAGCTGCCGCGTTTCTCCCACAAAATATACAATCAATTCACTTTACGTGAATTACGTGACGAGCTTTGAGACGTCTCGAATTCTTATCGTCATCATTCGCTTAGTTTCTAATTCATTTGTTTTTGTGAAGCGCTTTGAGACGTTTTTACTCAAGGCGAAAGGCATTGTATCGTGCAGGTTGTGAAGGGTGAGCGAGTGAGCCAGAGGAGGGGGGAACAAGGCTCCGATGTCCGTTACAATGACAAGCAGAGTGTTCCCGCGCCGGCCAGCCACACTCCCCTGAGAGGCACGGCATGATGCTCAGGCGTTCACATTTCTCTCAGAGCAACAGAGCACTTCGATCTACACTGCTTGCTTATTTACACTGGGCTGCCTTCATATATCTGGCACGTTTAGGGCCACACTGCACACACACATTCTGCGGCAGAGTTATATAGGGTCCCACTGAACTTGCTGGGGACGAGCAAGGAGCGAGCGGATCCCAGTGTAGGGGCTTTCAACCTAACGCAGCCCCTCGATCAGAAGAGTGAAGGGAGTTTCTCCTGGTGTCCTGGCCACCACATGAATTAATTATTCACACGAGGGACGGGATGGGATGGTGGTGTGTGCAAAATGGCTGCCGCATTTTCTAACCGATGCATAGCGTGGCGGGATCTTTAATGCCTGTCTGAACAAATATGACGGGACCTTTCACGTCTCATCTGAGGATGGGGCCTCCGATACTCCAGCGCTCCCTCCCCCGTACTCCCGCGTCAGCCCGGACTGTGAGCTCAAAAGTCCCGTCTCGGAGAGAAAAGAATAGTAAACGCACGAGCTCTCGGTTCACACCTGTTCCTTTATTAATCAGTTTTGTGAAACGCAGACACAGCAGCAGAGGCAGGCAGACAGGCAGAGAGAACAAAGCTTGCACATAAACAGCTCCAGAGCCAGAGCTGGCTCGAGTGAAAGAATCCGCGCTGCTGGCTTATTTAAACCAGGCTGCCTTTTTAATACAATAACCCGGCTGGAGTTTCAGCAAATAGCTACCGCAGTTTGAACAGAAAGAACGATCGTTTTCATAGCGCCTTATCATGTGAAAACGTCTCAGGCGTTTCATGAGCAATTGCTGTCGTATTTTTTTTTGTGGGGGGGGGGGGGGGCTGGGGGGTAAGCAGATACAGTGCAGGTTTTTCACGCAGCGAGATCCCACAAATAACCATGAGGTGAGTGAGCAATTTAACCGGCACGTTGCTGGCAGAACACCGTTATGAACTCCCATCTCTTCCCCAGTAGTGTCACAGGAT